CCCAGCCTGGCTTCTGCACCCCCCCTCTGCTCACATTGCCGCTGACCCCCTCCCCTCTACCCCCCTGCCATCAGGCCCCCCCCCCGCTTCACTGTGAGCACAGGACAGGTCCAGAGACAGATGGAAAAACTCCACCAAGGCAAGGCTGCTGGCCCTGATGGTATCAGCCCCAGGGTCCTGAGGACCTGTGCCCGCCAGCTGTCTCCTGTTCTCCAACCTGAGCCTGCACCTGGAGACCATCCCGGTGCTGTGGAAGACGTCCTGCGTTGTTCCTGTCTCTAAAAAGACGACTCCTTCTGGGCTCAATGACTATCGCCCTGTAGCACTCACATCTCATGTGATGAAGGTACTTGAGAGACTGGTCTTGGCCCATCTCACACCGCAGGTGAGATCATTCCTTGACCCTCTGCAATTTGCCTACCAGCCTCACCTGGGGGTGGACGATGCCATTATTTACCTGCTGCAGCGTGCTCACTCATACCTGAATGGATCGGGTTGCACTGTGAGAATCACCTTTTTTGATTTCTCCAGCGCATTCAACACGATCCAGCCTCGGCTACTGAGGCGCCGTTTACACGAGGACAAAACGGCTTGTATCTGCATAGTTTCGCGTGCGTATAGCCCTATTATTTACACGAGGGCCGATAGAAACGGACCCCACAACGATAACGGGTCCCAAGGTGGATAGATTTGCAAACGAAACTCTCTGGGGGGTCAAACGAGTCGTGTAATCGCCTCTATACGAATATTTCCTGAAAAAATAATGATAGCCCCACCTCTCCCCACCTCTGCTGCTCACTGCTGTAGCATGGCCAGTAGCCATCTGTAACGATCAACTATCAAAAATAGCTGTGTTAATTAAACGCACAAGGGGTTCTTGAATGAAATAATATTATAAAAGGCAAACCAGAATTGTTAACGCCCAATATACTCCTTAAACAAAATAAACAGAGTCAGATTTCATGCATTGATCCATTATATTGACAATTTTCCAGCCAAACAACACAAACAAAATTAAACAGTCCGCTCTGCGATACACCAAAATTGTCTTTACTGCCTAATCCAGGCCATTATTGTTCATTGCTCCTGTGCCCGTCGGCGGCAAAAAGAGAAATGTTTGTAGGCCTATTCAGGCTATAATCCACACAAAAAAAGGAAACACAGGACCGGCGTGTCCCAGAGGAGCGATCTCACCCGGTGTTTGTAGAGAATATCTCTCTTTCTGAGCGCGTCCTCTCCACGGAGACGTGCTTCTTGGTCGGTCGATGCAATATCCACAGATTCGGTTTCTTTCAGTTAACTTCCCCGTTGCATTTATCCATATGCTGAGGAAATGACTATATCCCGCTGAATACCAGCAATCGCCACACACACTTCCTCCTGTCAGTAGCTACTGCTAGTGCTACTGCTACTGACCATGCTACAGATGTTACAGATTAGTGCAAAATCTACAGCTCCTCTACCACAACCATCAGCAACAAGTGGACATGGAGAATTACATTAACTACTACATGTTGCTAAATCCACACAAATACACGTCACATCTGTCTCCAGAGCGGCTCAGTGAGATAACCCTGGATTAATGTTTCTCTTTACTTACTAAGAATAAGAAAAGTCTCAGTAAAATAAGTTTGATACTTTTGTAAGTGATTATTAATTAATATTAAATTAATTATTATTAATATTTCACAAATATGCAGAAAGTTCTGGAAAGTGTATAATTTATTGCAAACTTTCTCTTCATAAGAGTTTGTTGATTTGATTTGTTTTAACGGGTAAATACACACATGTCAAGAGTTCTCTTTATAGTCGTTCTATAATTTTATAAATGCAACAAACTTTAGTTTTTGTACATATAGTATAAAGTATAGTGTAGTATAAATATGTTTTGCAGCTCCAGACAACATGTATTTGATGGAAGTGAAGGCAGATTGGCTCTTAAGATAGTAAAGGTTGCTGACCCCTACCCTAACCCTATCTCGGATCACACGGCAGTCCAATCCACAATTTATACTATATGTCACATGTAGGCCTTTTCAGGCTCACATCTAGATTAGCCTGTGCCAAAAGTGTGCCGTATATTTACCAAAAGTGGCCCAGATATGTTTTAAGATAACCGGGCCACATTTGCTGCATCAGTTGTTGGCCACTTCAGGCTCATATCAAGATTTGCCGGTACCAATTGTGCTGCATCCTTACCACAAGTGGCCCACGTCTGTTTTTTAATATTTGGGCCATATTTTTCATGTCAAATGTGGGCCACTTTAGGCTCACACTCTGATTAGCCAGTGCTGACTGTGCCGCATCTTTGCCTAAACTGGCCCAGATATGTTTTAAGATAACTGGGCCACATTTGCTTCATCATATATGGGCCACTTTTGGTTTACACCCAGATTAGCCTTTGTCCATTCTGCCACATCTTTGCCAAAGGTGGCCCACAGTTGTTTTTGTGATATTTGGGCCACATTCACCATTTCCCACATGGGCCACTTTAGGGTGACATCCAGATTACACATTGCAGGAGCACCGCATCTTTGCCAAAAAAAGGCCCACATTTGCTTTGGGATATGTGGGCCATATTTGCTATTTTACAAGTGGGCCACTTTAGGCACACATCCATTTGGTCCGGGCCAGAAGAAGGCCAGCAGTGCAGCATCATTGCCTGAAGTGGGCCACATCCGCTTGCTATCTGGGTTGTCTTTGTGTTAGCTGATTATTTTGTAGAATTCTGTTGAGTATTAAACAATTACGTGAGTGTGAGGGGATGAGTCAGAGATGTGCAACTATATTTAACTTTTTGTTTTAAAACATTTTTTTTATAAATGATTATGGGAAGTGCCCTTTTTCTCACTTGAGCACCTGCCCCCCAAAATGTCTGTGCACGTCCCTGCTTTCAGGCTCTTTTCAAGCATTTCGAAAGTCAGGCAAGAGAGGTTGTTGAACATAAAATTCTCCATGAATCGTACTTATGATCGTACTATGTTCTTTTTTTCTGGGTCAATGGCCCTGATTGCTTCTAGCATATCAACGTATCTTTGAATGACGGCCTCTTCAGTTGTTTTGTGGATCATTTACTGCAAATGACTTTGCCAAAGCATCCCTCTCCATTGAAGTCTGTGACCAAGTAGCGGGTGGAGTTGCTCAAGAGTATAGTATAACTGTTGACGATGCCATGATCTTAGGGCAGGAATACCGTGAACATAGTTTAACGTGACAGAGGAATAAATACACACATACACCGTCGGCGTTGGTTCAACCGGAAGTGACACGTTTTATTGCACATGTCCCTTTTATCACGGGAATACAGGAAGTGATTTTTAGTATAAGAGTATTAAATAAACGAATTAATATCTTATAATTCATAATTCAACAATAACTCTTGTGTACCTGATCTGGTGCAGAAGATGAATTGGGATTAATCATTTTTGCAGTGAAATGTTTCAAAATTCCCAAACGCAAGTGTTGTCTATCTCTGAAGGCAACCAGAAGGTAAATGACCAGATTCAGAGTCAAGTCTTGGAATGGAAATCTAGACATCATTCAGTTCCAGGAATCCTTTCATGTTTAAGCTTTAGAATGTGTTTTATCAAGCTTGAATAGCATTTAAAAAAACTTCGATGCATAAAATTGATATGATTAGATCCCGCCCTGAGGGAGGGCAGCAGGAGCCTGTGATCCTCTGCCTCGCAACAACAATGCACACTCACTATAGAGCTCACCATGGCCATCAATGGAGGACCTACACCCAGCGGCTCAGGAAGAAAGTCAACAGGATTATAAAGACCCCCACCACCCCAGCAACAAACTGTTCTGTCTGCTGCCGTCTGGCAGGCGGTACCACAGCATCCGGACTAAAACCACCAGACTCAGGGACAGTTTCATCCCACAGGCAATAAGACTGCTAAACACCTGAGCTCTGTTAAGTGCCTTGATAAACCTTCATCTTGAAATGTACTTATTTGTCTAAATAGTTATCACCGCAATAAACCGTATTTAATTTTGTCTTATTGTACAATATTTAATTTCAGATTCTGTTCTTGTATATATCATATTCTATTTACATGTATAGACTTCTTGCACTATTTCTTATTTTAATTTTAATTTTTGTATTTGATTATATATGTTGCATTGTTGAAGGAGCTCGGGTCATAAGAAATGCATTGCCATTTCTACACTGTAGCTTATGTTCATATGACAATAAAACCTTTGAATCTTTTAACTATACACAATACAATGAGGAGTTGCAATGATTTATTTAAACAAATGACTCATGTACTTGGCTCTCAGCTGAGGAGGAATGACCTCCGCTGGCTCCATAGACCAGCCTCCACTGAATACGCTTGGTCTTATTCTTTTTTGACGGACATGAAGCAAGAAATGTATTCCCTGAGTAATAAAGCAAGCCGCTAAACTGTTTTCTTAATCTTAGTCATATACTGCTGCTCAGTGCTCAATATGATACATGAACAAAAAAAAAATATATATATACTGTACATTGAAAATATGTTATAAATGATAGTTTTGTATCGATTTTTTCGGTTCGTATGGTAAGTGCTGGATAGTAAATTAAGTACCTTTACTCAAGTACAATGTTGAGGAACTGGTACTGAGTATTTTGACTATTCTAGTTTTAACTTCTACGCAACTACATTATAGAATCACATTTTGTATTTTTTACATTTATTTGAGAGCATTTAGTTAATAGTAACTTTGTATGTTTTAGATTATAAGCTAATACAAAATATAAATAAATGATAAAATAAACATTACCTTATTGTTTTAGGTTATGATATCAAGCAGCAGTATATAAAGTACTTTAAATTAGCTCTACATGTAGCCTAATAAGTATTTAATGCTGATAATGTTGTACATTTTGAATGCATGAGTTTAACAAAGTATTTTTCAACTTCTTCCAACTGCGTATGGTGCACGGTTCACAACAGGTCAACGTCGCAATGACGTAACCCGGCATGACGCTTTCAAAGACGCACGGAGCGGAAACAAATCACAACTGTACCTCACAAGCAGCCAGGCACACAGAGCGCTACTGAGGATTGACAGGACACATTGAAGTGTTTTAATTGTCCATGTTGTGTCCTGGGCTGCTTCACAGTGGGTTTAGCTGCTTTGTGTTTAATATCCACCCTGGAGGGACAGAGGAGGAGTAACGGGAGGAAAACGTGGGATTTACGGACTGTCCGCTCCTGTAACGGTACTGAAAGTGTTCAGACATGGGAGCTGTTCTGGGAGCCTTCTCCCTGGCAAGCTGCGTAAGTTATGACATTGCTATTATAAACTTTACAAGATTGTTATTTACAACCACATTGTTTCACATTGAGGAGAAACGTATGGTATGGTGATGTCATGAAGAGCAAGCAACAGGTAGCCAATATCGCTCCATAGTACAGTACTCTGCCCTCCTCTCGTGGTCTCTGGTCTAAGATACCAGAAAAATGATTACTTGGGCTCTCGGCTGGGGTTTATTGATGGCTTCTCCACAAAGCACTACTTTCTCCTGCTAAATATGATATGTTATTGAATCGTTGAATTGTTTCATTCCGTTCCCACAGGTGTGTCCGACAGCTTGTTGCTGGGGTGGGGACGGAGTCCGAACTCCATTCAAATAACCTAGCGTGTTAACTGCCTTTCTTTGCCTCATATTTAGGCAGATATAAGATATAAAACACATTCAGCTGATTCATTAGCATTTTTAAATGGTGCGTTTGAACCTTATAATTGTATAGGCCGAAATGTAATTTGACATTAAGAGACAGACTATTACTGGTGACTCACAGTCACAAGAACATGCACATCGTGCAGCCTGTAGCTAAGATAAGATGCTAAATGTTGTTCAGAAGAGTCTAACATCATGTTTCCTAACACAGGGACAGTAAGAGAGCGCAGGGTTAGACTGAACCCGGTCATCTGCTCTCACGTGCTTAATTGGATTAACTCTGCTTTGTACCACCAACACGAGCGCCATATTATGAGTGCAGACAATGACAGCATGCATAAGGCGGGAAGAGAGCATGGAAATGAGTGGTTATGGTTAGGAACAATACGAGAAGCTCGTCTGTTGTATGGATGAAAGGCTTAAAGTGCCACATAGCACACACATAATAACCTCAGTTATCTTTTAGCTGTGTTTGTGGGGGAACAAATATGAAATGCTATATATTGGACTAATGGTGATTAAAAAAACTGGTCAGCAAATATTTAGGATTTTTACTTGATAAACAAATAGAAACATTTCCTTTTAATTAGAGGACTATCTCAAGAAAACTAGACACCATGTTTCAGAGGGTAGTACTCTGATAAACACACCTGTGGTATGTGGCATGTTATCATGGCCTACTGTCTGGAGCTAAGCTGACTTTGTCTAGCAGGCGTATTAAGTTGTTGACTATCTTCCGGCCTCCTTATCTCTACACACCGCTCTGCTGTTGGTGTAGGAGAGAGACACATGTAAAGCACTGTGGATAAGCCTTTGTTGTACATTAATACACAGGCTGTTTGTCCATGCAAATGAACCGAGCCTTTCTTTAAATTCAGGACAAAATATGGAGAATATGAAATTATTAATCCTCTGTAAAAAGTCTAACTCTCAAACCCATCTGGTTTACAACTCACAGTTCTCTATAGCTCAAGGACCATTTCCAGGATAAGAAGGATTTTTTACCCACCTGGGTCACTTTGGGCCACGAAAGTTTGGCATAACATTGTATTAATCACCATTTTATTGATATAGAGAGTACAATCACTCTAGTGTAAGCAGCTTTACAACAAGTTATAGCATTTAGAGTCGTCTCATTGTTGTTCAAAGGTGCCACTGTCGTTTACTTTAAAGTGGACCTATCATGCTATATTTGAATAATATAGTATAGGACCATACCTATAGGCATATTTATACTTATTTTTTTTCAAAATACCAAACAGATCATGCATTTTAGCCATGCCTCATTTTGCTCAATTTGACATTTTTTAGCTCTGTTTTTGCAAGGGCAGATTATGTGAGAACAGCACCATCTACAGGCCTGGCATATGTACTACAGCGTCTCCAGCGCTTTCGAACGGCAATGGCTGTGGCTGTCTCCTCCTGATTGGTGGAGTTGGCCCAATAGCCGTAGCGCCACTGTCCTGACGTCAGGACAGTGTTCAAATCTGGATCAGTTTTTATCAGATCCGTTGCAGCCCCTTTTTTAGAGATTTGGGTATGGAGGAAAATAGAGAGGGTTGTGTTTTCTGACACTTGGTGAGTTCCCTGGAACACCGGGGACACATATTCATGTATAAAAGACGTACAAAAGTGCATTTTGCATGATAGGTCCCCTTTAAGTTAATCCCACAAAAAATGTTGACCTGCTGGAATTTGTCACTAGAGCAGGTAATGCGCAACAGTCCACTGCTAAAAATGGGCCCAAACATGCACTAATTATTCGTGTTCGAGTAATGTTAAATAATAAATACAACAACAACAAATTATTTCTTTTTTGAAAATGAAACATTATTATGGTGGAGTTTTTAAAGATTAACATCTTCAGTAGAACCAGTACTGCATGATGAACTGACACTGTTGGTTTTGGACTCTTTACTTGATTTGTTTGAAATTAGGAACCATCTCTGGGATGAGATAATAAAGCAGGTTTACTGTGATGTGACTGATTGAACACACAGATACACTTGCAGAGCGTTGCCATGGACACTGAGTATATTTTCTGTAAAAAGTTAGATTTCTTAAAATGATATTCCTTTCTTTATTACAGTTAATCAAACATTAGCTTATGTTCTCAACTGCCCTGTGCGTAGATATTTTTCATCCAAACACACATTTCTGGATATTAATATGAATACTGTATACAACGTTTTTATACTAGAACATACATACACAGCTTTTTTCTTATTTTGTTGTATTATTGTGATCCACATGACCATAGAAAACACTGATTGTTCCGCAACAAATCTGTTGTCTTAGTTATTAACTATAACGGTTAAATATTTCTATAGCATGTTACTGTCATCTTAAACTGCAATTAAAATTGTAGAAGCAATATTTCAATGTTTCAGTATTTAATGGCAGTAAAACAATCAAGAACATAAATACTGATGCTCACTTCAGTGGACATGCATGGAAGTCTTAACCGTTCTTCTTCCAAATACAGATTATCTTTTCTGTGCCCTGTTAGCTTCTTAATATTATGCTAAAACTACGTTGTAATCCAAGATTAAAGAAGCTCTGCAAACTAAACATGTCCTGTTGGTAGAACATGTTCAATGGTTGAAAAGGGAAAAGGCTAAATAGCAGATAATTGAAGCCGTTAGTCCAGGGTATTCAGAGGGGACTGCCGTGCAGATGACCTTCACATGATAGTTCAGCAGTGTCTCATGTTGAGTCCCATGCACCATCCTAACAAGTAGAACATATCCATTATCCTCAGCTTCCTGCTAATAAAGAGAAATACATGGGAACGTTTGTCATGCTCTGAATCTACTCACATTTTTTCCAGGACAATGACAGTTTTTTTTTGTAAAATATTTTACATTGCCAAGAATGGACGCCACCAAAACTGTGTTTCACAACTAGAAAACACTACATTGTTAGTATTAATAGCAATAGGCGCATTCACACCGCAGTACTTTTCCCACAAAGGTTCATCAGAACTTAGTTCATGAGAACTCTTTAGTTCTCATGAACTAAGTTCAGATTGTGTTCACACCGGAATAAGTCCCTGGGGAAGGATTAGGCAAATGAAGCCGCTGACGTCACTTCTTCTTCTTCTGCTTTGGGTTTACTGGCAGGCCGCAAACAACTTCACGGTGTAAACTGCCACCCAAAGTCCCCGGCCGGAAGTCCCCGGAGTTAGGGCCTTCCGAGTAAATCGCCAGAACGCCGACACCCCCTCATCTCCACCGCTCCCATGTTTTCTTTTGTGTTGCCATAAGTTAGTCTCTCTGCGTTTGTGCGCTGGGCTAATGCTAATGCTAATAATGCTAATGCGAGGATAATAAAATGGCGGCTTCACAAAACTTTTTGGGAGTTTTACGGGCCGTGGTTTGCATTCCGCCCAGCCAATCAGACATAGCAACCTTTTTCTCCCACGAAAGTACCTGCTCTCTAGCAGGGACGGAAAAGGGGGTAAAAAAGGTTCTGATTAACTAATTTTAGTTCCGGCTCTTTTTGGTGTGAACGCGACATTTTGGAACTATATCGGAACTAAAGTGGGAAAAGTACTGCGGTGTGAACGCGGCTATTAGCATTTTAGAAAAGGAGATGACACCAGTTGTGTTTAGGTGATAGACAGAGCTTGAAGTATCAGTTAAAGTAGAAGGCCTGTAAAGACTTAGTACCAGTTCATGTGAATTCAGTGAGAGAGGCAATGGCTTAGAGACTGTCGGGGGAAACCTTACTTCTTCCTTCTCTCTGTCTGTACCTTACTCTCATGTTCCGAATAACCCAGCTTCCCCTAAATTTCTTTTTGGTGTCTATCTACGCCGGGATCCTGAGTCGTGGCTGATCCTGTTGCTGCGGTCCTGAGTCCTGGATCGCGAGCCCTGGATCCTGAGTCGTGGCTGTGCCTGTTGCTGTGGTCCTGAGTCCTGGATCCTGTATCCTGAGTCCTGCATCCTGAGTCCTACATCCTGAGTCCTACATCCTGAGTCCTGCATCCTGAGTCCTGCATCCTGAGTCCTGCATCCTGAGTCCTGGATCGCGAGTCCTGGACTTCGAGTCGTGGCTGAACCTGTCACTGTGGTCCTGCCTGGCTCTCATCATACTACTTCCCTGATGGCTCCCACAGGATTGTTGACATCCTCGTGGATTCATCTTCTTATTATAGACACATACATTTCCAAACATTTGGTCTACCTATACTGTGAAATGTATTATCTCTTCGATTTACACACGGCATCTATTGCACGTGTGTCCGTCCTGGGAGAGGGATCCCTCCTCTGTTGCTCTCCCTGAGGTTTCTCCCATGTTCCCCTTTAAACTGTGGGGGTTTCTCTGGAAGTTTTTCCTTGTACGATGTGAGGGTCTAAGGACAGAGGGTGTCGTATTGTCATACTGATATTCTGTACAAACTGTGAAGTCCACTGAGACAAATGTAACATTTGTGATATTGGGCTATATAAATAAACATTGATTGATTGATTGACTGAGGTGTGAGTAATGAAAGCGCTTGGAGTAAAAAGGGAGTGAAAGCATCTGCATTTATATGTTTCTGCAGATTTGTTTTCACCTAAATGTGTCTCCTGTGTTTGGTGCTCCTGCTTTAACATGCAGATGATGAAGTGATTGTGTGTGTCCCCAGCTGCCGTGCCTGTGCAGCAGCGCCACCTGTCTGCTGTGCAGCTGCTGTCCCAGCACCAGGAACTCCACGGTGACCCGGATCATCTACGCCTTCATCCTGCTGCTGGGGACCATCGTGGCCTGCATCATGCTGTCCCCGGGGGTCGATCAGCAGCTGAAAAGGGTATGAGTGAACTGTGGAGATACAGTCAATGTATAGATATATAACACACGTTTATTCACGGTAATGCTCTATTGCTGTGTCGAACAGAACAGTTCCAGCTCTCCTGTGTTCTCATTCTGTTCCGAGTCCTTGTTCCAGAGGTTTCAATTACAATCATAACGTGCGATGATTGTCTTTGTGTGATGAAGTTCACTGACATTACACAGATGTTTAATCATCTCATGACGCTGGATACAAAGGTTTAATTCAGCTGGAGCTGCCTACTTGTTATTACTTAAGAGCTGACTCTCTGTTGTAGATAGATGATGTGGCAGATGTGTAAGAATGGACAGCGAAGCATCTGATTTGTTCTCTGGCAGTTATTTTCACCAACAACATTGTGCAGACCGTGTCTAAATCGCGCCAAAACTATCAATAATAACTCTTAAAAGTCCTACGGTTTAAACGTAACAAAAAACGATGAGTTGGCTACTAAAAGTGTCACTGAACAAGATCACAAGGCACAGACGTTCTTTTAAATCGTATACTTAGAGTTAGGGTTACTCGGTAACTGGCCCGGTGCTTCCGAACATGAAATGGACTTCAGCTCCTGCTCTTTTGAACCCTTCCTGTGTGTGCTGTAGATCCCTGGCTTCTGTGAAGACGGGGCCGGCTCCTCTATCCCTGGCATGCAGGCCGATGTCAACTGTGAGATGTTCGTGGGCTACAAGGCAGTGTACCGCATCTGCTTCGGCATGAGCATGTGGTTCCTGGGGTTTTCCATCCTGATGATTAACATCAAGAACAGCAGAGACCCCCGTGCTGCTATCCACAACGGGTAAGCCCCGCAGTAACAGCAGCAGCTCATGCACTCTATCACAAACACTGTTTCTGACTCCCCTTCATGTACCTGAGCACGCTTTAAAAAAAAAAACTCAACCTCCATATTCTCACTGGAGATGTTACAAGATAAACCATGTAACAAAATTGCAACACAGACAATTCCTGTAACAAAAAGGATAATGTGGGCATATATGAAAAAGATAACCCTAACCCAAAAAGCTTCCAGGTATTTCCTTGAGCTTTTTTTGCAAACACAAACAAACAACACTGCCAAGTTCTTATTTAATTATCTGCACTTAATTTTTGTTTGTTTTCCCATGTCCCACCTTATTAAGAACTTCATTTCAATACCTTGAAACTGTGAGTTGCTTATTTAAAACGTCCTTAATTACTTTTATTTTTTTTATGAATTGTGTTTATCGCTATTTTTACATAGATTCTTCAAAGGATTGCCTTATTCTAGGCGTCTCAAAAGGACAATTGAATATATCACAACAAGATAGAAATAGATAGACAGAGAGATAAAGAGAGACAGAGGCGTGTCTCCAGGAGTTTCCATATTCACACACACACACACACGCACGCATGCACGCATGCACGCACACACACACACACACACACACACACACACACACACACACACACACACACACACACACACACACACACACACACACACACACGTTGCAGCTGGTCATAAGGCTGAAAGGTCTTTCTTGTGGATGTCGCCTGTTCTTGTCCCTCTATGGGATACGCTTGTCTAATAAACAGTCATGTGAACAGTTATGACATCTGAGCAGATCTGATTGTTTGTCCCACATTAAACCTGGCAGTGTGTTAGTGTTTGAATCAGAAGAAACGCTGGGGAAATTAGCTTTGACCTTAAGGATCACTGTTTAGAAATGCTTTCAAACTCTAAATGTATGTTTATGTACATCCTACTCTATGATCAGCTGTTGTTTTTCTCAGATTCTGGTTCTTTAAGTTTGCTGCCCTGGTGGCAGTTACAGTTGGCGCCTTTTATATTCCAGATGGGCCTTTCACCTACAGTAAGAACTTCCTATTCTACATTTAGTATGACTTCCAATATACAGAGTTGTTGTAATACCAAGTGAGTTACTGAATGAGCTGTGTGTCTGTGGTTGCAGCGTGGTTTGTGGTGGGCTCTGGGGGGGCTTTTTGCTTCATCCTGATCCAGCTGGTGCTGCTGGTGGACTTCGCCCACTCATGGAACGAGTCCTGGGTGGAGAAGATGGAGACCGGCAGTTCCAGGTGCTGGTACGCAGGTCAGTGACTCAACAGTGTGTACAAAATGATACACTGCATACTACTTGCAAGTATGTTTGAGCGTGTGTTTTGTTAATACTTTGGAATTCAACAATAAGATACATTTGTAAGTAATAACATGCAGACTATGGGATAATGTGTGAACCCGCTTATTACATGACAACTTACGGTTTAAATCAATATTTGACACAATATATTGATTTAAGCAGGATTTCATTGATTTAAAAAATATTATATTACTTTCGCTAAGAAAGAAATAGTCTGTTCTACTGCATTTTCTTCTGTGACTGTCCAAGTCTGTCGCAACATTTACCGTGACACAACATTCGGCCGTTCACGGAAACAACCGATTACGACCGAGAAATGCGTATCATGAAAGTTACGGTACTTATTAAGCATTTTACAACTTATACCGTAACTTGCAAAAGTGCTTTGTTTTGAACGTTCATCACTATATTAATCAAAAGGAGAAATATGAACGTTACTTTTTTACTAAAATGATCAAATAAGTCAACAAGTCTTTACTGAGCTGTGTGGGGTTTCTGAAACTTTTAAAAACATCTTTAATGGTGATATACACAGTGATAGATGTTAAGGACAAACGTTTACAATAGATTAGGGCTGTCAGTCGATTAAAATATTTAATCGCGATTAATCGCATGATGTCCATAGTTAATCGCGATTAATCGCAAATGAATCGCACATTTTGTATCTGTATTTTTCAAGTTTTTAATACTCTTATCAACATATGAGTGGACAAATATGCATTATGCAAATGTTTGTTTATTATCATTGGAACAATGACAAATATTCTCCTGAATATTCTCAACACAACCACCTGGAACCTCTCTCTCTCTCTTACACTCTCTCCCAACCCTGTGTACTTCTCTGCACTGAGCCAGTTGCTCAAACAGACAAGCCTGTTTACAGTTGTCGGCGAAATGCCGCTCCTCTGTCTTCATAACAGTCAAAGCATGAGACTGAAGTTCCCACTGTGGGTCACAATAATGCGCTGTGATGTGCAGTCGACACGTTGGATGCGATCCGAATGATCTAACGCAGCCCCTCGTCCTCCACAATGTTAAGCTGTAGCCACCCATTTAGCTATCGCTGTTGTTGTCCAGGCGTCTCCCCGGCAAACTTAGAAGCGCAAGCGAGCGGCAGGAGCGGGGCTGTCGGCATCAGCATCAGCTGTGTGCTTGGCTTGCTGTTTAAAACACCTTTTTTTGTATCCATATCTCTCGCTAGAATCTCCCACCATCCAACTAATAACAACAACAACGTCAAGCCTTTGGGCTCTGAAACTACGGGGCGGGCCGAGGACAAATACACATGCGTTAATCGCACGTTAAAATAATTAGTGGCGTTAAAAAAAATGTGGGTTAACGCGTTATTAACGCGTTAACTTGACAGCCCTATAATAAATACATTTGTATTGATTTTAAGATCATTTCATACAATCATACGTATTGGGATTCATGTGGATTAATACGAGTGGACCGGAGGGAGAGGGTGACAAGCATAAGTTTCACTTTCCTTTTTTATTTCAATTCCAACTTTGGTCATGAAGAATATGTTTCTCTGTTGTCCACGTTCATAAAGCATAAAACAACAGCATCAGAGCACGGTGCAGAGTCTCTAGATGAGTTTACAGTAGTCCCTCGTTCTTATTATACATCCATGTTGTAGTCCGCTGTATAGAAAACTGTAGTTTCCCCACAGCAGCAGACGCACATTGATGACGTCCGCTGGCGCATCATAAACACGTCGGATAGTGAAAGTGCAGTCGGATTCCCAAAGCACCGCAGTCTCTTCTCCTAAGTCCTTTTTAATTCTCCTATCCACTATCCTTTAACCCCATGACGTTTCACACAGAGGTCAAGGGATAGACGATAGGAATAGACGATAGGAGCTGATTTTGGACAATTCGACTGCAGCCATCGTCTCTCTTCTTCTGCTGTTCCCTTTAGTGTTTACTTCCTGTCTCTCTTCAACCTCTTTTCTTCTCTTACACTGTTTTTCTTGATCTTATTCTCTTTTATTTTCTATTCATTTGTGCTATCCACAATTAAAATAAATGTTCAAAAGGTATTCCATGGTGTTTTCTGTTGGAGGAAAGCTAATTTGTATTTTTTAGCTGACGTTAAATTGACCGGACTTCTTTTTGCTGGTTGATATGACTGCAAAGATTCCTTAATCCTTAGCAGTGGTCTGCTATCAAATATGAACCTTTTCTACCTTGTGTTTTTAGCGTTGCTGGTGGTCACTCTCATCAACTACATCATGTCCTTTACTGCTGTGGTGCTGTTCTTCATCTTCTACACAAAGCCTGATGGATGCTCCATCAACAAGTTCTTCATCAGCTTCAACATGTTGTTCTGCCTGGTGGCCTCCTTCCTCTCTGTGCTGCCTAAAGTTCAGGTACAGCAGTGTTTCTCAAAGTGGGGGGCGCAGAGGCATGACAGGGGGGGCGCGAGAGACCAGGAGGAAAAATGGTTTTGAAAAATAAAAAATCATAATTTGAAAAAGTATTGATTCGAAAATAATATGATACAGTACAAGTACGTCTGGGTCTCTGTGTTTCAGCTCGGCTCTGTGTGTGTGTGGCACGAGCCATTTTGTGTGCGTGCGCGAGCGAGAGAGAGAGAGAGAGAGAGAGGGCACCGGTACCGGAGATCGTTGTTAGCTTCTGGTGCTAGCGAGTTAGTGGCCGGGTCTCAAACGTTTTGGACACGATTAATGTAAACAATTATTTCCGAGGCACACGTTTATATGATCATTATAGTTATACAAAAATAAGAGAATAAATGAAAAACAGGTTTGAAATACTATATGACAGTAAAAAAATAATAAAGTTTAAAAGGGGAGTGATTTGTAAAATATCCATAAAGAAATAGTAAATCTGTTTACAGTTCTGTTTCAAATGGGTGTTGAGAGATGTATCCATAGATCTCTTCATGTTGCTCTCAAAGTGCACCAGATTGATGCTTTTGACTTCAATATTTAAAAAAAAATCTTCCCGGGGGAGCATTGTTTTATTTAGTGGGAATGCTGATACAGCATTCCAACTATATGTTCTTCTACGGACAAAATTATTATTATTCCGCCGGAACTTTGCACCTCTTCTCCTCCTGCATTCAACATCGCAGAAACTCCGTTCAAATATCAAAACTTTCAGCTCGGTCGGGAATCGATGGCTATTACTTTTATCATTCATAACTTTCATAATTCCAGAGATACATCCCATAATTCATCACATTTTTAACCATTGAAGTCAATGGAGAAAATCTTCAGACTTGAACAATCTTCATGCGACTTCAACTGCTAACTGTTCATTCATACTTTCACTCAGAAACCTCATTCCAACTTTAAAATGTTACACATCTTTCTGACATTATTCGTGTAACACAACTTTTAAATCTGATTCTTACTTTTAGAGATATTAAACATTGTTCAGACCTTGGTAAAGAGGCTTTCTTCAGATTTTAACATTAACTAGAGTGTGTGATGTCACAGCTAGAGGGTAGGAAATCTTGAAATTTGCCTTCATATTTTTTTTTTAAACTGCCATAATTCCCAAACCCTACATTCCTGAGACATAATTTTTCATGACAAACGTAGGAAAACATCTCGTAGCTTGAAAAATGACAAATAATTAAGCAAAATAATTAAACAAAATGCCTCTTGAGGGCATGAAGTGACAAAAACGTGGAGAAAACATGTCTCCATTAAAACCCATTGTAATTTCAGGCTGATATTTCCTCACAGCAGCAGCCGCACACCTTTAGTTAAACTGCCAAAAAGGCCACATTATTAACCCGAAAGTACACAAAAATTACACTTCAGATACTCAACTTCCTTGACATGCTTCACGTTTTGAAATTTCACAGATATCTGTTATGGTTCTTCCACAAAACGTTCACATGTAAGAGGTTCATCTCTCATTCAGAACAATGAAACCTTTGATCTCTAAAGAGCTCGTTAGCTCAACTATAAACACCTGTGTAATGGAACACGATGATGTCATCACTCCAACTGACAGCAGTCAGTTCTAACTGTTCATTTCATACTCGCACACTCTCTCTCTCTCTCTCTCTCAAACACACAGTCTCTCTCTCTCTCACACACACACAGTCTCTCTCTCTCTCACACTCTCTCTCTCTCACACTCTCTCTCTCACACTCTCACACTCACTCTCTCTCTCTCACTCTCACACACTCTCTCTCTCTCACACACACAATGTTCCAAACGGCCCAAAACTTCACAGGTTTGGTAACGATGCAGCCATCAACGCATCTAAGCATATTATGGGGTGTCATCAAATGCTGTTGCCATGGCGACAGACCACTCGCCATGAAACACGATGTCGCTGTAAGTCCAATGGACATGGTCCAATCGTCCCCCAATCTTCACTTGTATATCACCGGTCCATGCCTTAACAGCTCTACGCCAAATCTGAAATCTCACCATATGCCATTTCCATGGAAATGGCATCGTGTTTTATCCCTCGCCATAAAACACAATGTCCCTTTAACTCCTATGAAAATGTTCAAAAAGTGCTCAAAATTCACATGTGTGCTAACAGTCCAGCCGTGAAGACATCTACGAGACAGTTTTGAGATTTCTTCAAATGCCGTGCCATGGCAACACAATGCTCGCCATGAAACACGATTTTCTCATAACTTCAGTGAAAATGCTTCAAACGGCCCAAAACTTCACAGGTTTGGTAACGATGCAGCCATCAACGCATCTAAGCGTATTATGGGGTGTCATCAAATGCCGTTGCCGTGGCGACAGACCACTCGCCATGAAGCACGATGTCGCTGTAAGTCCAATGGAAACGGTCCGATCGTCCCCCAAACTTCGCTTGTATATCACCGGTCCAGCCCTCAACAGCTCTACATCAATTATGGGGTTTCTTCAAATCAAATCAAATCAAATCAGGTTTTATTTATATAGCACATTTAAAAGCGATTTTTGGTCGAGCCAAAGTGCTGTACATGTAATAAAAACACATTACTACAAATCACAATAAACGACAATAAATTACAACAGATATATCTTAAAAAACAAAATAAAAATAAAACACACGGAAAAGTCAGGAGTCGTGCTCCGCTCTAACTAGAAAGCCAGAGAGAAGAAGTGTGTTTTTAGTTTTGATTTAAAAACCCCTAGGGTCTGGGCCGACCTCACATGGAGGGGCAGAGTGTTCCAGAACCAAATGCCGTTGCCATGGCAACACAATGCTCGCCATGAAACACGGTTTTCTCATAAATTCAGTGAAAATGTTCCAAACGGCCCAAAACTTCACAGGTTTGGTAACGATGCAGCCATCAACGCATCTAAGCGTATTATGGGGTGTCATCAAATGCCGTTGCCATGGCGACAGATCATTCACCATCAAGTTAGTTCAAAAGTTTGCAGTTCAAATATTCTGCTGCTTTTCCAAGCCTTTTTACTTTCTTTTCTTCACTCATCACACATTCAAGCCCCCAGTGTTCATGTATCATTTCAATCTAAATTCTTCACTTTCTTACACATTACATTTCAGCATAGCAGTTTAGCATCGGCTTTCCGGCATAAAGCATTCCCACTAGCAATTTCTTCAGGAATTGCATTCTCTAGTCATCACTGTTCTAGCAAAGGAATGCTCACGTTCATATTGATGTATTTTAAGAAATGTTAACTTGGCCCATTACGTGACTATTTGTGTTGGGGGGGCCCGACTTTTTTTTTTCTCCACAGAAAAAGTTTGAGAACCACTGAGGTACAGTAACAGGACCGTGTCGTTCACATGAGAAAACTGTGACATTGTTTTAAAAAATAAGAGGGGAAACAATTCCATAAACACCTGTAAAGTAGTGTATCATGTTGTGTACATATAGTAAACACAGTGCAGTACAGGCTAATAATAGTGATACAGTCATCATACTATGTAAATCAAAATAAAAGTTCAGCTCCCCTCATCAATTTGCTGTTAAAGAAAATGTGCGGCACGGTTTGACTTGGTTTAAAAAACTATGATTTCTTAACAAACTAAATTGGGTCAATACAGACATTAATGATAGTCAGTGAAAAAGAGAAATAATAGAGACAGTTTTGTAAGAGGAAAATCACTGGGTACCTGCTGCTCAGTGGCTATTGCGTACAAATTAAGACAAAACCACAATAGGGGAAGCTGCAGATATAGCAGACTGTATATTAAATACAGGCATTATATTTTGAAAATGACTATGGTCTGATACTTTTCACCAAGTGCGTTCCTTTGTGTACACCATCTGTGTATTCTCACCATTTCCATCAACTTACAAATATCCCAACAAAAGATAACACTGTTGTGACTGTTAACCTCGCAGCTGTGTGTGTTTTGATGTCTGCATTTTAATGTGTGAAACTGAAACTCCAGCTGGGCTCAATGTTCACTGTCGGGTTCGGGTGACATTTGTTGAACAGATTAAAAAGCCCTTTGGGTTTTGAACTACATATTTGCAGACAAAACCGCCATAATCTTCCGGACACAATAGTGACTTCATATAGAAAGGGTCAAAAGTCTTTGCAGTGTTGCTCTAAGAACAAGTTACTCCTCAGTATCAGCAAAACCACAGACAGATTGTTGGTTTTATAAAAAAGGAACAGAAGACACCCCTGTCTATATCAATGTAACTGATGTGAAACAAGTTAATAGTTTCAGTTAAGGCTAATTCATTGTATCCTGCACAGGGCAAGCAGTACGTTTCTTACTCTAAAGATGAGTCCTTTCCATGAATCCTTAAATGTGACTATATTTGGGAGAGAATGATTTTTACATTACATGTCACTTGTTAGACGCTTTTATCCAAAGCGACTTACATACTCAGTACTGTGGACAATCCCCACAGGAGCAATTTGGGGTGAAGTGTCTCAGGGACACAACGACATGCTGACTGCAGTGGGACTCGAACTATCACACTGAGCCACAGCCAATGATCTGACACAAGGAGAGATATGTGACCTAAAACCTAGTTAGATGATTCGGAACATGACAAATCTCAAAATGCATTACACAAGTGTAATGTTGTAATATGTTATTTTCGGTATACGTTAAAAGATAGGAATTAGCTCAAGTTACTATGAGGAGTATAAAGCATCCTGAGAGGAGAAATTGCACACAAGCATGGTGAGCACTCTGAACTCCACCATATATCATAAACATTCAATTGTATTCTAGTCTGATTTAAATACTTGTTTCTATGTTATTGTTGTTCTTTCAGGGGCAACTTACATGTTTCTGTTAATCACTGCATATCACCACCACAACAACTAAATAAAGGTGTAGTTCAAATTAAGCTGACTTGCTATTCAACTTCTAAAGTTGTCCTTAATTACTGCATCCAATCTGAACCTCATTTTCAAATGGAATTCCAGCTGCTTTAAAAAGAAAATAAATAACTAAACTAACAACATAAGAGTGAATGAAGTTGGCCCAGTTATCATGGAGTATTTCATGTTATTTATGTTTCATTGTCTGCCTATTTGATCTGTGTGTATCCTCAGGAGTCGCAGACCCGTTCAGGTCTCCTGCAGTCCTCCATCATCACCCTGTACACCATGTATCTCACCTGGTCCGCCATGACTAATGAACCTGGTGAGGATGTCTGCTGCATGCGTGAATTACTGCTATAAACATTGATTCAGTTAGGAATGAGCAGAAACAATAGGAATCCATTCGCTACAACCAAGGAACCGGACGGTGTTTCTGTCTCTGTTCTTTTGAAAGAAATAGCCTCTTTCTACGTCATAAGACTTTGACTTATACCTTTCGTTTGATATGCTTTTGTGGTTTTGTTCAAAAAGCATGATTTATGTTGTGCCTGCAGCAGAGCAACATGTTTAATTCCTCCATAGAATGTGCAAAAGTATTCACACACAAAGCATTACTATTGATTTAATATGGTCTAAGTCAAATGTTCACGCTACTTTCAAGGATCTCATGTCTCATGTCTGTTTTTCCAAAGAACGTGTTTTTAAGGCATATGAGAGGCAACAACACGTCTGAAAATAACAAGCAATAACTGTCCCCCTTTCTACTTAAACCCCCCGTGCTTGTTTAATCCCCCCCCCCCCCTCAGATCGAGAGTGTAACCCCAGCCTGCTGAGCCTCTTCCAGCAGATAGCAGTGCCCACCCTGGCCCCTCTGGAGATGGAGAACCAGACGGCGGTGCTGATCCTGGGCCCGGACACAGAGGAGCCCGTCCTTACGTCCCCCTACCTGCCGTGGTGGGACGCCCAGAGCATCGTAGGGCTCGCCATCTTTGTCCTCTGCATCCTTTACTCAAGGTAGGCTGAGATTAGAAACAATGAGATCACCTCATGCAAACTATTTTCATTCACAAACTTCCCACAAGGTCCAAAAATGTTCCCATGAGCATCATGTGAAGTGTAGCTGTGATGGGCCGAATCACAGGTTTTAATTGATTATTGATCGGCTTGCCCACATCTAACTGCACAGTGACACGTGTTCAAAGAGGACAGAAAGTCTTGATACGCTTTCAATATGAACACAGTGGTTTAACTCAGAGGATTTAATTAGTGTGGGTGTTTATCACAGCTCATCATCCCGGAGGTTTCATTACATCACATGCAAGCCTTCTTCACTGTCATAAACAAACGGATGAAATAACAATGTGACCTGTGACGAACACTGTGACTTAAAAAATATATTTCAACTAAAATCTAATATTCAATAGCCGCGTTCACACCGGAGTACTTTTCCCCGTACTTTTCGCGTTTAGTTCTGTTAGTACCCCTTATGTCGCGTTCACACCAAAAAGAGTACTTCAAGCCGGGAACTTTTACCCCCATTTTTAGTGCCTGCTGAGAGATGGTACTTTCCTGGGGGGAAAAAGTGCCCCAGTTCTGATTGGCTGGGCGAATTGCAAACCACGCCCCGTAAAACTCTGAAATGTTTTGTAGAGCCGCCATTGTATTATCCTCGCATTAGCATTATTAGCATTAGCATTCGCCCAGCGCACAAACGCAGAGAGACTAACTTATGGCAACACAAAAAAAAACATGGGAGCGGTGGAGATGAGGAGGTGTCGGCGTTCTGGCGATTTACTCGGAAGGCTTCAGTAGACGCTGCTGGGAGTCCCAGCAGCTTCTACTGAAGCCAGTCCCCAACTCCGGGGACTTTCGGCCGGGGACTCAGGGTGGCAGTATACACCGTGAAGTTGTTTGCGGCCTGCCAGTAAACCCAAAGCAGAAGAAGACGAAGTTACGTCAGCGGCTCATTTGCGTAATCTTCCCTCAGGGAACTTATTCCGGTGTGAACACGATCTGTACTAAGTGCCCTGGGGTAATTAGTGCCGGGGCACTGAGTGCCGGCACTGAGTACGGCAAAGTACTTGGTGTGAACGCGGCTAATGGCAACAGCCTCACAGATAAAGTTCCATTCAAATGTTTTCTTACTAACTACCTGTGTTTATGAGACAGGTACTCCTCAGTAGGGCTGCCCTCGACTAAAGATTTTTCTAGTCGCCAATTAAGGCGATTAGTCGACTAATCGTCGCACGTTTATGATACATTATGATTATAAATATATTAGGGCTGTCAAGTTAACGCGTTAATAACGCGTTAATAACGCGTTAATAACGCGTTAACACAAAAAAAAATTAACGCCACTAATTATTTTAACGCGATTAACGCATGTGTATTTTTTGTCCTCGGCCGCCCCGTAGTTTCAGAGCGCATCGAGTTTAAAATACCATCTACAAGCTGATGCTGACAGCCCCCCTCCTGCCGCCCGCTTGTGGCAGACCACACTTCCACGCTCACCGGCAGGACCGGACTGGCCATCGGGAGGACCGGGAGGGTGTGTGTGTATGTGTGGCGCGACTCGCGCGAGCGAGGCACACCTTACGTGTTGTTGTTGTTAGCATCTGGTGCTAGCTAGCTGAGCTAACGGATATAAGGAGCTGTTTCAATGACATTTCGCCGACAACTGCGCCGAGCACTTGACTTTATGCAGGCAGCCAGACAGTGGGACATTGTACGAAAAGTCAGCACACTCAGCACGGATAGTACGCGCAACATGATTGCAGCGTCCAGGCAGCTCCCGTTGGAACACACACACACACACACACACACACACACACACACACACACACACACACACACACACACACACACACACACACACACACACACACACACACACACACACACACACACACACACACACACACACACACAGTATTATTGTATGAGAGAGGTTCCAGGTTGAATTGAGGTGAATATTTGTAATGTTCAGAGGTTGTTGTGTTTAATATTCATGAGAATATTTGTCATTGTTCAAATGATAATAAACAAACATATAAAGCATATTTGTCCACTCATATGTTGATAAGAGTATTAAAAACTTGAAAAATATCCCTCTAAGGTACATTTAGAACAGATAAAAAATGTGCGATTAATTTGCGATTAATCGCGATTAACTATGGACAATCATGCGATTAATCGCGATTAAATATTTTAATCGACTGACAGCCCTAATATATATACAGGTGTGCACATAACTTTTTGAGTGAGTTACTCAGATGAGTACCAGGAGACAGCGTTTGGTACTCACCCCACATGAAGCGTGGTGTTAATAAGTGCAGTCTTCCTCACTGTCCTCCTCAGTGTCTCCTTCACTGTCCTCTATTTACACTTCTTGCGTGCTAGATGATGAAGATGATGAAGATGCACCTCCCTGTCTCTTTGTAAGCCTCCGATTTGCTTTCTCCAAAACTTGTTGCCAAAACTGTGAAGTCCTTGCATTTCCTGAGGCCAAGTTGAAGGATCAAATACTAAGAAATTATCACATGACTTGAAGTCATATCTGATTTCAGAGGTGGGAAGTAACAAAGTACACTTATTCAAGTACTGTACTTAGGTACAATTTAAGATACTTGTAGTTTACTTGAGTATTTCTATTTTATGCTACTTTGTACTTCTACTCCACTACAGTTCAGAGGTAAATCATGTACTTTTCTTCCACTACATTTATTTAATACCTTTAGTTACTTTACAGATTTGGATGAATGATGTGAAAATATAATCAAGTGTTAAATCAGACTTTAGTTCCACCTGGAGTAAATCCACAAGCTACCCTGCAGTATACAAAGTCATTCAAACTAATTTTTAAACACTTTAATGATCAATAATTATAAAACATATCATATACATTATTATGAAATGGACCAATCTGCAAAATGACTACTTTTACTGTCGCTACTTTAACTAGATTTTGATGATAATACTTTTCTAATTTTACTTGAGTAACACTTCTTCCACCTCTGTCTGATTTCAAACTCTTCCATTAACAGCCTGAGTAAGTTTGCAGCTGTGTGTTTTACTCCACTTTGTTGTAAATAAAACTGCAGCAGCTTGACCACAGAGCGTGAACGTTGTGATCAGCTGATTTTGCGCAGTTCTCCAGTGTGTGCGCGGGGCACAGAATGTGCACAGGGGAGTCTCCCACCGCAGCCAGTTGACGTAGTTTTGGTACAATTCTGTTGTACACACCGACGTTAACAGCAGCTCCGTCTGTGCACACGGCGACCAACTCTGTCGTCCAGTGATCTAAGCCTCTGCCTCCTGTGAAGCTTCACAGGTCCGTCGGTTATGTCCTGCGCGGCACGGCCAGCACCCAGTTCAATCAGTCATAGAAAGTCTGAAGATTTTAGCAGGTCTCCCTTGTAAAAGAGATCGTTGATCTCAATGGGATTTTTAACCTGGATAAATAAAGGCTACAAACAAACAAACAAACAAGGGAGCGAAACGGCAAAGTGGCTGCTTAATGTCTTTGTTTTTTTTGGACATGTCTAATAATTTACTCCACTGAGTATTGACAAGAAACATGTGTAGGCGAAATATGTGTTTTGTTTTGATGACCTATCAGGTACGCAAAGGCGCGTTGTGACACAAGTGACGTTACGCATTTCATATTGTTGCCGCGCATGCGTACCTGCGTACCAGTTATGTGCACCCCTGTATATATATATATGTATGGGTTAGGTTTTTTTTTTTTTATTCTTTTTTTTTTTCCAAAATGGTTTCAGTTTCAAAGGCTGATAAAGAGCGTTATTATAACAGCATGGTACGTTGTGCTTCACATCAAATATAAAATAAAACTTTAATAATGAACATTTGAAATATGAATTAAATGTAGAGAGCGCATGAGGGTCACAGCGCACGGCACGGACGCAGCGGTGTAAACAGCAGAAGCTCCGGTAAGGATTCTTATTGTGTGTGTGAACAAGCAGTGAGGACACACACGGAACATTTAGTTCTAGTTTCTATTATTCATATCTGAATATAACAACCCAATAAATACTACAGAGAAACTAAAAATATGAGCGTGGGCAAAAATCCCTCCGCATTACGCCCTCATCATGAAATGAAAGCTTTGTAGTTTTCTGAGGTCAGAATGATTATATATTATAGGTCTATACATGTTGATACAATGCTAGGCTACTGCCTGACTCACTGCTGCTGTTTTCCTCAGAGTCTGAGAAAGTAACACACGTTGGGGATAATTAAGCTCTGTGTTGTTATGAAGCCGGCATTCAGGAAGCTGCGCTCTGATGGTGTGCAGGAGGAGACTCTTTGCCGTCCTAGTTTGCATGTCACCTTGTGGTCCTTTACTCGCTCAGAAAGATCCACACTTTGGATTTCCTGCCAGACCAAACAAACTGAATGACCAGACACAGCTCTGAATGAAGTCTGAGGGGGTTTCCGGCTGACGCGTCATAGCACATTCAGCGCACGGATGGAGCTTTTTTTCCCAACTAAACGACTAATAAAAAATTGCTCGATTAAGACTTTATTAGTCGACTAGTGATTATTCGACTATTAGGGGGCAGCCCTACTCCTCAGTTTGTTTTTAGTATGGTTTTACACTTCAGGGCCAATTGAACCTTTCTATAAATTCATAATTTCCAAATAGACACACAGTATCCATGTTCCTGTGTTCTGCCCTCAGCATTCGGTCGTCCAGCACCAGCCAGGTGAACAAGCTGACCATGGCTTCCAAAGACTCGGCCATCCTGGCGGAGGAGGGCAGCAGCTCCGACCTCTCCGAGGAGGCCCCGGGGCCCCGGAGGGTGGAGGACAACGAGCGGGACCTGGTGCAGTACAGCTACTCCTTCTTCCATTTCATGCTCTTCCTGGCCTCCCTGTACATCATGATGACCCTCACCAACTGGTACAGGTCAGTCCTGCACACAGCCTGCCCCCCCCCAGCTGTGTGGAACAGTTTGACAAAATTCCAAAATGAATCAGAAAAATATTTGCCTCACCGCTCCACACATCAGATGAAAAGTTCCTCATATTTAGACAAGAAAGTAACACACAGTCGGATTTACACCCAGCGTTCTTTTAGCAACCTCATCTGCTTCTGCAATACGATGATGTTTTTCGGTTAGAGGATTCTTTTGTTTAAGAGGCCTTTTGGGTTTTTCAACATGTTTGTATTCATTTGCCAGAGAAATAGATGCTTTCCCCAGAGAATAGATTGAAACACTAGCATGAGAGGCTGTAACTGGGCGAGCGTGACCCATTAGTCAGAATGGCCACAATTAGGAAAATGGTTGAAAATGATGGCATTTCCCTCAAATGGTTTGTCTGGCTGATTGTCCCACAGTTGTTACAAAGTCATCTGTTTTAAACATATATTAACATACAGACCAAATTCAGCTTTGACCTACTTGCTGCTCTTTCCAGTGAGGCATTACCCTACGACCACTATTAAGGGTGCATTTACTCACCCTCTTTGACTGTTGTAGCTTATGGCGTCTCTAGATCTAAAAATGATCTTACTTGGATGTAAAGCCCTCCAGTGAGTTTCACCTTCTCTTCTGAAACAATAGTTTGTTGTAAATGAAAGACGTTATAAGCAGATTGATGTTAATGCCTGTTGTGTTCTTGACAGCCCTGATGCAGACTACACAGTGACCAGCAGCTGGCCAGCAGTGTGGGTGAAGATCACCTCCAGCTGGGTGTGTTTGGCCCTGTACGTGTGGACCCTGGTGGCCCCCATGATCCTCACCAACAGAGACTTCAGCTGAGCAGCATCTGCGGCTCTTTTTACACAAACTCTGACCACTTTGCCTACATCTTACTTTCAAAATGCACTTCAATGTATGCTTTGGGCTTGAGATTAGTTTCACTATTTAAAGGGGGCCTTATTATAATATCATAGTGACATCACTATTTAATACTCGTGCTTCTATTGGCTAGCGCTCTAACACATTCTGCGTGATAGGCTAAGGGGCAGGACATCTCTAAGCGGTTGACCAATCACAACAGAGCTGGCCAGCTAACCTATCAGAGCAGACTGGGCCCTGGTTTCAGACAACGTTGTGTAACCTTGTCTTTATTGGGATTCAGGTCCAAAGTAAAACTAGTCACATTTTGATCACATGCTCTTAATAATATGAATTTATGCTGTAACTGTAACAAATATTAGTTACATTTAATCAAGTACAAATAGTTTCTACACTGCTTAAAAAGATGAATGTATTACTGTATTCATAATGAAGTGCACTCAGTCAGCTCAGTGGTGTGTTGCTATGCCTTCCAGTGCCTTATGTCTATCAAATACTTCAGATATGTGAAAATATGAAGAGTATTATGTGTAGTGTAGTAAAGATTGCTGATAGAAAACATGACACATTCTGCAATATGACTTCAAGTCAATTTAAGTGTCAGCCAAATATTTATGGACCAAGATATTTTCTCTTTACGGTGTGATCGCTTCAGGTTGTAAAATAAATATATAGAATGAAAGAACTGCGCTTAACACACCATCAAAGGATGTGTGTTTAATACTCTTCTCTGTGCATCATTGTTTGAATCCTAATAGTATGGAATAGCTTTAATGTTTATTATGATCTTACCTATAAACAAAGTCATAGTTTTAATCCAAGCTGTATGAGTTTCAGGTTGTGCTAAATGAATGGTTTTATATGTTCAGGAGTGATTTCAAGCTGATATTCTACCACTGACCAAATGCCTTGTAAACCCAAGATATGAACTGGATGTGAGTTCTAATCTCTGTTCAACTCCATATTCACAACACATTTTCGCTGATCTTATCATAACTCTCTTCTTGCACCATGTTATCATTGAATCATCCTCGTCTCGGTTTGAAATGATCATCAATAGTCAATCAAACGGAGAATGCAGTGTCTGTTTGTTATAATGTAGCTTTTAACAAAGCTGTCTGTACATGGAAACGCTGTTGTAACATTCATTGTGCAAACACTATCAAATAATAAAAGCTGTTTTACTACTCAACTTTTTTCCTGATGCAATCAAATGTTCTACAGACGGACTTTATGCAGGCTAACAGTGAAACCTAAGGACGAGGGGTGCGTTTCACTTCGGTTAAATGGATTCCTTGCGTCCCTCACTTGCGTCGTTTCCCTGCGACTAGTCCCTCCCACCAGGGAAGCATGGAAATGAGTTTTAAGAGCAATGGGACTCGTTTCCTCCGGAGCGTCACGTGAAGCGACGTCCGTTTGTGATGACGCCGCACAGCTGATCGTCTCGATCGTCTGACAGCAGCCAGATCAGTGCATGCGCTGCATCGTCCAATCAGTGAGCGATACACAGTAAGGGGGCGGGGCGAGTGTGAGGATTTCACCGGAGGATGGTCTGGTAGTTCCTCGATTATCGCTCTTCCGTTATCGCTCCTCGATCCTCGGTTCTCCGGCACAAATAAGGCCACTGGGACGCTACTCAAGATGGCGCAGACAAATCAACTTCCGGTGATACCGAGACCGAGGAGCGAGGAAATGAAAAATAACCGAAGTGAGACGCACCCAATGTGAGCCTTACATAACGCTGCACCTGAACTGAAGGGCCATCAACAGAACTGATACAAGATTCATCGTTCTCTTTCCCACCTGTCACTTTTAGAGCTCCTCAGGAGAGCCAATCACAGGGGAGCTTTTCTGACATTGAAACAAAAGTGTTTGCTAAATAGTACAATCAAATGATTTAATACTATTTATTAAATGTTTTCTCACTGAATGTTGGAGCTTAACATTAGTGTGTGTTGTTGTTTAGTAACTTTGAGGGATTTCATTTGCCCTCACATTGCGTCTTTAGATATTAAATAACATTTGAAAGTTCCTTGGGGGGCAGGAGAACTCATGAGAATGCATACTGAGCAGAAATAAACTGCTGAGTATAAAACCAATATCTTACAAATATTTTTTTTTTCTAATCAATAAATCCCCCACAATCATTTGTAACACATTATTTTATGGGTCTGTCTTTTATATTTCAAATGTTATATTATTATGAAGAGTTCCAGTGTTTACGTTTCTTTCAGTCAGTGACCAGCACACCATGCAGAGATATGAACTTTGCTTAACTTATAAATAGTATCAATAATTATATGAATAATATATGAAGTATTTCCTGAAACTTTCCAGGATATACAGATTATAAGAAATGATGGACCCATGAATAAAATGTGCGCATCAGATCAGAAGTATCAGGGACATATTTATCCCACAGTGTGCACTATTTGTATTGTCTTGTATATATTCATAGTGCATCCTTTAGGAACCTGTGACCCACGACAATAAACCTCTCTACTGAGAGCATCCCCACTCTCATAAATCAAAGAACTGTAGAGTGCAGACAGTCTGCAGGATCAGGCGTCTGCAGGCTGGATCCTCAGCAGGCTGTGTGTGAGCGGCAGGGTGAAGAGCCTCTCCTCCGGCTCCTGCTGGGCACTGTGCTCCACCCGGCACCTGAACCTGGAGCCCCGGTCCTGCTTGGTGGGGGTGAGTTTGAGGAAAGTGTACATGGAGTAGAGGCCGTTGATGTTGAGGCTCGGGGGGGTGTTGAAAGAGGGAACCTCCTCTCCATCTTTAGTCCAGGTCACTGACACGTCCTCAGGACAGAAGTCTTTGAGGCACAGCTGCAGAGTGCAGTCCCCCCCCAGCAGGGGACACGGTGGCTCGCAGTCGATGAACATCACGTCAGGAGGAGTCCCTGTGCACAGGGGGGGGGGGGGGGGGGGGGGGGGGGGAGATTCTCTTTTAGCATGGATACGATTCTATCTTTAACGCTCAACATTTTTAGATGTTTATACTTTGTTCAATTATCCTCACATTATGTGCAATGCTTTGTTTTAACCAGCTGTGTGTGTGTGTGTGCGTGCTCTCTCTCTCTCTCTCTCTCTCTCTCTCTCTCTCTCTCTCTCTCTCTCTCTCTCTCTCTCTCTCTCTCTCTCTATCTCTCTCTATCTCTCTCTATCTCTCTCTCTCTATATCTCTATCTCTCTCTATCTCTCTCTATCTCTCTCTATGAGGTTTATGGGAAAGCTGCTTTTAATATTGATCTGATTAAAAGGAACATTTGAACAAAGCTGCATATCAGATATTTTAAAGCAAAAGCAGCAAATCTTCACGATTCAGAAGCTGGAACTGTCAAATGTTTTTGAACAGATTCTGAAATATAATAACAATATAATCCTAATTCAAAAGTATTTCTCTGAGTGTTGTGTGTCAAAATCTGAATGTATAAAGTAACTAGCACATACATCTGTAATAAATGTAGTGGAGTAAGAAGTATAAGATTGGCTTCCAAAACGTAGTAGAGTAGAAGTATAAAGTAGTATAAAAGGAAATTACTCAGGTGAAGTACAAGTACCTAAAAAACGGAAGTACAGTACTAGAGTAAATGTAATGAGTTGCTTTCCACCACCGTAGGAAATCAATAGAAGCTGGTTTGCTCAAACCAACAGTAAGAGGTTAGGTGGAGCTACCTTGAGTGTTGATGTGGTACAGGGCGTCCTTGTACCCCGGAGCAGGGAAGCTGGAGTGGTAGACCCGGCAGCTGTAGACGGCCCTCTCGTCCTCTCTGGCCATGAGCAGCTGGATCTTACTCCACAGGCTGTACAGCCGGGTGTGGTCCGAGAAAGGTCCGAAGTGTGTGACCCCACAGACCGGCTCCCCGTCGTTCCTGGACCACTCCAGGTCCACCTCCTGGGGGTAGAAGTTCTCCAGCCGACAGCAGAGCACCAGGCTCCTCTCCACCTTGGGGATCTGAGGGATGCTGGTGATCTGGAGGAAAGACGGCTCCACTGCAGGGGTGACAGTGTGGTGAGGGGGGGGGGGGGGGGGGGGGGGGGGGCAGCCGTGTCATTCACAGGAGGAGAGAATAAAGCTCAGAACATAACTATCCATCTGCTTTTCAGGTGAAGGGTTTCCAAGATAACTAGTTTTGAGGTTTAAGGATAACAGGTGAAAGGATGACCTTAACGCTCCTTAAGCAGTTACACAATTGATCTCACTGGTTCTGATAAATAATATAACGAGGTTATAAAAATCCTTATTAAAGGAAATGTGCTTCTTTGAATTGTATGCTGAAAGGATCTTGACTAAGTGAACTTGTCTCGCTGATATATTCTTGCATTATGCACATATTTATGTATATGTTTCCTTCATGACAGACTGTGACTTCAATTCAAGTCGATACATTATTTTAAATAACAATGTGTCAAATGACAAACTGAAAACAATGTGAAAGAAGTTGCTCATAGAAGCCACACACAAAGTCACCAATAAAAAGTAATGTTTGGGATACAGTTATTTAGAAATTATTACAATACTGAATCAAAGTATATGGTAGAAATGCTCCCTAGTTGCTGCTGTTACAGAACGCTCCACCTCCTCACCTTTCACCCGGACTGTGGTCACTCTGGTGATGCTCTGGCCCCTGCACAGCACCTCACACTGGTACTGGGTCCGGTCCTCAGAGACGGTCAGACACACGGTCAGGACGGATGTGTGGTGTTCACAGTCTGACAGCAGACAGGCCTGGTCACTCAGATCCCCCCCGCCCAGCAGAGAGCCCCCCTCTGACAGCTCCTCTGAGCCTGCACTGAGTTTAGACCACCTCACTCTGAGCTCCCGCTGTCCAGCTCCTCTGATGGTGCATCTGAGGTCCGTCTGCACCTGAGCATAAATGATGCTGGGTTTGCTGATCTCAGAAACACTTGGTGGAGCTGAGGAGAGAAATAGGAATGTTGTTGCACAGATAAGACAAAGACAATAAAGGGTTTTCCTTTCATTCTGAAAGTGTGTGGAACTTGGATCATTTATTATAGAGGAGAATAACGCCTCTACAATCAATAAATCCTCCCCCCACTTTGTTCTGATGGCTGCACAGTCATCATCAATGAAATGAAGTTCTTGGAAGAATTATGATGAGAAACGCCCACTTGTATCGTACACCCTGGTTTGTCCTTATATTTGAAATGTAAACATTTAATAAGCTTATCATATGTTTTAAACATTATCTCACTCTGCGAAGTAGCCTAGATGCACGAGTGGCTGGACCCTACACTCTTCCATAAGTGGGTCAAAAAGGACCCTTATTAGAATAATATATGTTTTTATGCCATTTGTGTCATTTTGGTTAAGAAAAATCACTTGTATAATATTTAGTATTATATATTGGTTCACACTAAAAAACTCATCTCTTCTCCTCTCATCTCTTCATAGCCCACCCCCCATCAATCCATGCCGGTTGATCAAGTTTGATCGTCCTATACCCCCCACCCTAACCTTCCCTTATATTGTAAAGCGATTTTGAGTCCTTGAAAAACCCTATCAAAATATAATGCATTATTATTATTATTATTAGACTGACAGGTATCAGATCTTCAAGGTTCAAGGTTCAAGGTTCTTTATTGTCAATCTGACATAGCTACAGAGTAATTATGCAGTTGAAAATCTTATGTCACAGGCTTCTCCAACAATGCAACATAATAACATAACATAATAACAATAAGAGCAAGAGCAATACAAAAATAATAATAGTTATAAAAATGAAATAAAGTTATGATGTGGAATAGTGCAGTATGAGTCTATATACAAGTTATTGGAATGATATATATATATTAGGTATTAGATACATACTACTGAGTAGCAGTTGAATGTTTGAAGTTGTTTCAACAGTTCAATTTTTTAACAGTCTCACTGCCCGCGGGAATAAACTGTCTCCGAATCTTCTTGTCCTTGCCCGGATGCTGCGGTAACGTCTGCCAGACGGCAACAGAAAGAACAGTTTGTGGCTGGGGTGATGGGGGTCTTTGATAATCCGTAGTGATTTCTTCCTGAGCCGCTGTGTAAAATAATCTTCCTGAGAGGTGTCACTTGTGATGTAGTCTGTGCATCTACAGTGAATGTATTCCTGACAGCAACAGGTGATAAGAATCAAAGGTTCCAGAGGATTCCATAGGAAAAGCATGCGGGTCACTTGTGGAAGCTTGGGGCAGTAATACAAAAACTACAATTTCTTAAAATGTATAACATTTCAATTTAAAATGTGAATGGCATGATATCCAAAACATGTTTTTTGAGGAATAGCTGGAATATGAAATGATACAAAAATGTAATTACAAAGATACTTCAAGAAAACCACCTCACAGGGTAAAAAAAGACCCACTTATGTATCTAAGGGTTAAGATGAAGGTTATGAAATTAAAAGTACAAGAATTCCCTCAGAAATATTGTTAGGTAACAAAACATTCTGACAAAAGGGATGAAGAGGATGTAAGTAAATCTTCTTTGTGGGCAAATTCCAGTCTTTTTTTCTAGAGAATAACTTAAATCCAGGCAGAAAAGAAATGCCCTCTGGTGGAGATCTCCAGTGTGTTGGACCACTGAACCTTGGACCTCTCTTCCACACACACCTCACACAGGTCAACAGCTGATTATATTGTCCAAGAGTTCCGCCCATACTCATGTGAGCCAACTGATCCAACCCATAATGAATCAGAAAAATAAATAAATAATGACGTTATAAAGAAAGACCAATACTAAAATGTAAACAATCAAAAACCTTATTAGATTTACAACAGAAATCCCCACTCTGTTCCTACTCCATCGACAACCCTTATTGAAGTGAACATAATATGTGCTATAACAATCTCCATAACACCTATTATCATCACATCCACACTCTCACTTCAAACTCAGGCTAGACTTGTTGAATAGTTTAAAGAGTAAAAATGCACTTTGGTTATACTGAGACATACCCTTACACAGATAGGCGTAGAGAAGCAGAGCTCCTCCGATGGCGGCGCTGGCCAGCAGCAGACTGGTGACACTGGTGAGAGCTATCAGGGTGACGTCACTGTACACAGGCTGGGGTGGAGCTGCAGGGGAAAGGGATGGAGAGATATATATAACATATAATAAATGTGTATTTTAGTATGAAACACGGTTAAATGAGTGTCTACATAATGACAGAAAGAAGAAAAAGCAGCACCCTGAACAGTCAGTGTGACAGACGTGTTGTACGGCCGGCTGTAGGTCTTGTGCTCCACCTGGCACATGAGGCTCATCTTTCCACCCTTCACTGCTGACGAGTGCATGGTGATGCCACTGTGGATGCTGAAGGTGCCATCTGCATTGTGAATGGCCATTTCGGTGCAGACGCGGGAGAGGGGGCTTAACCCTGCGAGCACAGTGTGGGAGCCGTTCAGGATGAGCCACGTCACGGCCAGCTTCTCTGGATAGAAACCTGTGATGTCACACTGTATCGTCTTCTCCTCCCCCTCCGTCACTGCTGCCTTCTCTGGGAGCAACACTGAAGGCCGCGCTGGGGGCGGGAGCAAAAACATTACATTGTCATTTTTGGGTGGGGTCTTACTCCCTAAAATGTAACATAAAAAACGTCTCTTTCTGGGATGAAACTTTGAAGCACGCTGCTGTGGTAGACATATTGTAATGGAAATATTATCAGTAAAACAGAATGTTATAAGTTGGTGGCAGAGGTGGGAGAAGTACTCAGATTGTTATGGCCTAGAGATATTGGACCCCAAAGCAAAAGACTTAGAGAGAGAGATGGTCAAAAACAAAAAGTGTATTTAAAGCAGAGGCACAGGTAACGGCAGTGGAGGCAGGAAGCTGGCTGGCACGGAGACAGAAAGGACAGGAGACAAAAATCCAGGCGACGAGATCACAGGGACGAGGAGAACAGCGAGACACACAGGAGGGTCGAACACGACGGAATTATCTGGCAGGGAAGTGGCAAGAGGACCGGGCTTTTATGGCAACAGGTTGAAGAGGTGAGAGGTGTGCCTCGTCTGCTGCTGGGAGGAGCCAGCCAACTCCCTGTCACACACCAGCCCTGCAGAGGAAAACAGAGGAAGGGGAGGGGGGAGACAGAAGAAAACACAAGCACACAACAAAACCAAAACTAAACAGAATCATCACACAGATCTTATACTGGAGTAAAAGTAGAGTAGGAATACTCTGTTACAGTAAAAGTACTGCATTCAAAATGTTACTCAAGTAAAAGTAGAAAAGTATTATCATCAAAATATAGTTAAAGTAGCGACAGTATAAGTAGTGATTGTGCAGATTGGTCCATTTCAGAATAATATATATGATATGTTTTATAATGATTGATCATGAAAGTGTTCTCAAAGCTGGTAAAGGTGCAGCTAGTTTGAATGACTTTGTATACTGCAGGGTAGCTTGTGAATTTACTCCAGGTGGAACTAAAGTCTGATTTAACACTTGATTATATTTCACATCATTCATCCACATCTGTAAAGTAACTAAAGGTATTAAATACATGTAGTGGAGTAGAAGTACACCATTTACCTCTGAATTTCAGTAGAGTAGAAGTGAAAAGTAGCATAAAATAGAAATACTTGAGTAAAGTAATAGGATCTCAAAATTGTACTTAAGTACAGTACTTGTGTAAATATACTTAGTTACTTCCCACCTTTTGTTGGGGGAGCTAAATGATAAGTCAAATTGATTAAGTGAAATTAATATTGTGATAAAATGTCACTATTGTGTTGGAAGCTGTTATCATGACGACAGTTGCCAAAACATTTCTGTACATAAAATATAAATCTAATGTCAGCAGCCAGTTAGCTTAGCATAACAAATGGAAACATGGGTAAACTGTGATAGCTTCAGATGGCTCGTGGATTTTGTCACCTTTGGACAGAGCCAGGGAAGGCTAGCTCAACTTTCTATGTGCTAAGCTAAGCCAACCAGTTAATAACTGTAGGCCTATCTTTAATGCAGTGAAAGGGTATCAATCTTCTATTTGAACTCTCAGCAAGACAGCAAAAAAGATATTCCCAAAATGTTGAACTACTTATTTAATTAATTGATATGTTAGCAGTGTGAAGCCAAACAATTTAGATCAGTAATAAACCATAAACACTGCAACACATACCAGGTATCATTTATAACTTCACAATTGGCTATAAAAAGCAGGCCTATGGGTAATTCTGTTGGCACAAAGCCTCCATAACAGAAATCTAACATGCAACAAAAACTGCTGCAAGCAATCTGAGACATTTGGAGGGAGATCTGTGAAGGTGTTTCAAGGAGCAGAACATGTTGTGCTAGCGTGCGTGACACAGATCAGAGTAAATACCCAGCACTTCCAGTGAGGTGGTCTCTGTGTAGACCACAGGGGTGATGATTCTGCAGGAGTACAGCCCTTCATCTCCCACAGTCACATTGTGGAGCTGCAGAGAAGCATCACTCTGTAGCAACTGCATTCTGTCCACCTCAGAGCCCTCTCTGTTCACATGCGCTCTTCCATCCTCAAAGGTGTACACTACGCTCTTCTCTGCATGTGTATCCACCACGTTCCACTCAATGGTGAGAGCGCTCCACTCCACCAGCCTGGACAGCTTATCAAACAGGCAGCCCAGAGTCACATTTGCCCCCACCAACACACTGAGCTGCCGGGTGGTGTCAGATGAGGAGCCTGGAAACATGAGAGTGAAGTTTGCAAAAGAAAAACAGTCAAATAAACTGCACAAGAGAAACAGCTTCCTTCTGAAACAATGCTTCTTACCTCCACAGTGGCAGACAATAAGCATTACTTTAATCATCACTTTTATATTCTGTTGGTGCTGCATTTGGACGATGTCAGAACATTATGAAGTACAGAGTGTTCGCACAGCTCAAAGACATTCCCTGGACTGAGGGTCACGTGGTAGCTGTGTGAGGATCATGTTCAGTAGGGCTGGGCGGTAAACATTCACCTGGTTTCTCAGGAGGTATGAATCATGGAGTGCTGCTCTAATGCACCTCCTCCTGGACTCTGACCTGGGGCTGACACCTCCTCCTTCTGGACTCTGACCTGGGGCTGACACCTCCTCCTCCTGGACTCTGACCTGGGGCTGACACCTCCTCCTCCTGGACTCTGACCTGGGGCTGACACCTCCTCCTCATGGAGCCCAGACTTTTTTTTGTTAGAGCCGTTATCATTCAATAATGATTGGTCTTCTTATTCTAGTGGGAATATTTTGGCAAAACATATCTCAACTTTCAAAATGCTTATGTCCAAAATCCAAAGATCTGTTGTCTGTTTGCAAAATAAATGCATATGAGCTGCATATCATTCATGGTATGGTTAAGTGTTTAAAAAGGAACATATCTCAGTAACAGCACTGATTCAGTGATTTCAGGTGAAAAGATAGCTAGGTAACTAAAACTAGGATCGACATAACACCTACCTATAACCAGTTCAAAAGAAGAAAGGATTTGAAGTCAGGTAAATAATGTCATCATAACATATTTTGACCTGATAAGCATTACATTCCTGAATGCTTACTTTATTGTAAAGCAGTGCAACAGCCTCTGAGGTCTGTGTAGCATTAGTACTAAATGTGAAAGTATCAGTAAATATGGATGAAGGTGCTGATGTATCATGCTAAATCTCACTTTGTATGTAACATTTTGCAGGTGCAAAACAACATGCTTTTTCGAACTCCATATTTCTATTATATCTGCCTCCCATGAGAAGAAAAACACATTTTATTCACAATATTTTTTTATTTTATGTTGGATATTTTCTGCACAATGAAAGCTTTGTAACTATAACTGATTTGTATAAACATGATCTCCAGAGGCCCTGAACACAGCACGGATCTTCACCCCACCATGGACCTCTTCCTCCCTCTCAACCGGACTTCCTCAAGCTTTTTAATGACCGCTGAGGACTTCTTGGATGCCGCAGCGTAGCTCTTCAGCAGCCTCTGGAACAGCGCCTCTGTGTGGGGGTGGGTACTGAGGAAGGCTTTCTCCAGCACGTACAGGTCCACCCCCTTATCCTCGGGCAGAGCGGAGATGTAGCTCAGGCCGAAGTCGATGAGGAACAGCTCTGACACCTTGTCCTCCGGACCGCATCTCAGCAGCATGTTGGAGGTGGTCAGGTCTCCGTGGATGACATCCTCGTCGTGCATTCTGGCCAGGACCTGCCCCACCCTCTCAGCCAGCGGCTCCAGACCCTCACAGCGAGCAGACGGGGGGGAGGAGGCGATGTGGTCCCGCACAGTCGAGGAGCCCACAATCTCCTCCAAGAAAATACTGTGGGATGTGTAGTCCACAAAATAGACTACCGGGACAGATATGCCTGAGGAGAGAAGACGAAGAGTTTTATTTAAAACGTGTACGTTGGCCTCTTAAGATTCTAAATCAAATAATAAGGACCCTGTGTTTTCTAGCATCAAGTCATAAGGACGTCATTATTCTACATTTCTTTATTTTCAACCAGATCAAAACCAAAAAAGTACTTGTCTGTGCGTCTGTGCATCTGTGCATCTTTACATACTTTCTGACCTCTGACTCTGTGTGTGCCTATAGACAATTGGTTACTACTGAAAAACAAGGAGAAGAAGAATATAAATAATGACTGAGTGTTTTCAGTTTTCAATCTGTTAATATATAACAGTAAAAATACAGATGTCACACAGGACCAATACACATTAGGCCTGAAATACAGATGGACCACACATCCACATACACAAGGAGTGTATGTCGAGGTGTCAGAGCGAAAGAGCATGTCTCAGGGTTAGAGCTGCCCCAACATGTACATCTTTGGGGAAAAACTGAACAATTATTCACATAGCTGGTAAATAAATAAAAATAAAACAAACATAGAGGACTAACTTCAGCTGTGAATAAATCCGTTTTTTGTTGTATTATTTTGCATGGTTGATTCTAAAAGAGAAGGATTATTATTCTCAAGTTTGGGATGTTGTGATCTCTATTTTTCAAATGTTATAAAATCAACAATTAATAAATGTGATAATAACAAAATCTTTATAGACTATGACGTTTTGTTTTATATCCATGTTGTGTTCTTCCAAGACATCTGCACAGCTCCATAGTGGAACCTGAGAGGAACACAACCCACCCGTCAGTCTCTCTAACAGGCAGACAGTGTGGTGCAGCCCCAGCACGGTGTTCACTTCTGTATTGTAGTTAGGTCAGTGAAAATTGAATAAGCTACTTTTATTTAACGTTAATGAGTGGTCTGACACTCTGACCCCTCAGCGGTGTCAGTGTGAGGGGGGGACTCGCCTGCTCGGCGGCACCGCAGCACGGAGCGGACCTCCTGCACCGTCCTGCGGTGGGTCAGCTTCTCGTCCAGCAGCGGGTGTCTGTACTGTTTCCGGAACCTTTCCTTAACAATAGTCGGCCTTCCCAGGAACCTTGCCCGGTACACTCTGGCTTCTGCTCCCTGTTTAAGTAACTCTGCTTTACTGAGGAACTCTGGGATCGCCGCCATGCTCTTCTCCTGGGCCATGTTTACTTCCGGTTTTCTTCTTCTTCTACGCTCTGTCTGTCTGCTGCTGTGTTCACACAGGCTCCCCCTGGCGGCCACCGATCAACACACCTCAACTACAGAGGGAAATGACGCATAGACCCGGGGTCCTTCTCAGGTCGATTAAATGGAATCCTTGCGCCCCTCACTTGCGTCGTTTCCCTGCGTTTAGTCCCTCCCACCAGGGAAGCATGGAGAGACGCAAGGAAACCACGAGAAACAGGGAAATGAGTTTAGAGCAATGGCACGTCCTTTCTTCCGGAGCGTCACGTGAAGCGACGTCCGTTTGTGATGACGCCGCACAGCTGTTCGTCTGACAGCAGCTCTGTCCCCGTTATTTTCACGAACACCCTCGCCTCTGTTAGTACACATTTACTGACACAAACATTTGTATCATCTGTTGTAGACCCAAATACATTAAATAAAATAAGAACTCATTCTCAAAAAAGATAAACGCCATTCTTAAAATGTATAAACGAACAATAGTTGGATTAATATTGATTAGAGTGCACAATAGAAATAAAATAATTCAGAGAAGAAAAAGAGATATGTTATCTATCAAAACCCAGTTAGATTAACATTCATTAATCATTGGATTGCACACTTTGTTTGTGTGGATATGTAGCAAATTAACATGTTAAATAGCACTTAATGACTGACTGAATGGAAATGACAATAAATGAAAATGTAAAACGAAAAAGCGATCATGAAAATGTTTCCAATAAATGAATAAAATAATTTTTGACCACTTTGTTGTTCAGATATATCACATATTTGTAACTGAATGATGCATTAATTGAAACAAAACACAGTATAAACTGAGGAGTGAGTCCCGTGAGTTTCATGTGTTTTCTTCACTCCGCTGGGAAACTCTGCTCTCATGTCAAGAAGCATCAGATCAGTGCATGCGCTGCATCGTCCAATCAGTGAGCGTTACACAGTAAGGGGGCGGGGCGAGTGTCTGAGGATTTCACCGGAGGATGGTCTGGTGGTTCCTCGGTTATCGCTCCTCCATTATCGCTCCTCGCTCCTCGATCCTCGGTCCTCCGGCAGAAATAAGAGCCATGGGACGCTACTCAAGATGGCGCAGACAAATCAACTTCCGCGATACCGAGGACCGAGGACCGAGGAAATGAAAATAGTCGACCTGAGAAGGACCCCCGGCCATGGGCTAAACAGGAGAAAAGTTAATAGTGGTCAACTTAGGAGGGCAAAGCTACACAACCTGTACACAATCAATAGGGTTAAGGTAGTCAGACATTATGACAATTAATTTAGTAAACTAAAGATCCAATTTTTGTGATGTTTATATAGGGTCTTACCCATGTCAGGGGTTAGAAGCTTGGTTCAGCCAAATTCAAAAGATATTCTTTGTTTATGTCATCTAATTCATTACACAATAAAATGTTTTAGGGGGGGGGGGGGGGTACATACAGTAGGCCTTCAATCCCTGTGCTTGCCTGCAGTGGTGGAATGTATCTAATTTTCTCAAGTACTGTAGGCCTAGCCTACTTAAGTTAACAAATGCGTGTATTTTACTTGAGTATTTTCCCGTTATGGTAGGCTACTTCATACTTTTACTCTATATTACATTTAGTAGACAAATGTTGTATACTTTTTATCCCACTACAGTGCAGAGGTAATGGTCTACTTTTTATGGGCATAGATTTGTCTCATAATTATTTGTGTGAACATAAAAATAATTTGTGTGTAAATATGTGATTTGTAAATGTAAAACACCATCCACAAATGCATTTAAAAGATTTGCAAACTCACAAATAAATTTGCAAATGTAAAACGGATCTGCAAATAGGCTGAATATTTTTCACCAATAAAGCAGATATAAGCAGAGAGATTTGAGATCCACAAGCAGAGATTTGAGATCCGCAAGCATTTCTGGTTGACAAATACAAAATGGATTCACCAATGCCTGATCGAAAGTTGTCAATGTTAAAGAGATATTCACAGATATTTTTTTTTATTTGTGAAAATATTTTGCGTATTTACAGATCCGTTTTACATTTGCAAATCTTTCAAATGCATTTGTGGATGGTGTTTTACATTTACAAATCACATATTTACACACAAATTATTTTTATGTTCACAAAAATAATTATGAGACAAATCTATGCCCATAACTTTTCCTCCACTACATTTACCTTCAGTTACTTTCCAGATTTGGATGAATGATGTGAAATATAATCAACTCTCAAATCAGACTTTAGTTCCACCTGGAGTAAATTCACAAGCTACCCTGCAGTAAGTAATTAAAACTAGCTGCACCTTTACCAGCTTTGATAACACTTTAATGATCAATAATTATAATCGAATTCTCAGGTAGCCTATTTTAACTTTTAAGAAGCTTGATCCGAGCACGAAGCCGCGGACCGGTCCTTCAACCCGCTCTCTGGGCCCTCTCTTCCGGGACAGTTGTCGACCTCTGGCGTCAGGACTGCGCCAGAAGTTCTCCTGTTGCAATCCGACACTGCTGCCACGTAGATCTCACATCTCCCCAGCCCCTGTCCTCGCCGTGGTCCGCTTCTTTTCCGGATGTCTCAGAGCCGAAAGCATAGACCCCGCAGCGGACTCCCGAGCCCCAGAGTTCAGAGCAGCAGCCCGCAGTAAAGTGATGTGAGTTCGGCCTGCAGGAACCACAGTGTTATCATGGGACAGCTGTATGGAGGACAGAGGAGCTGCTGAGACAGAGCCGGGACAGCAGTGTAAGGAGTACTCACACTTTTACTTCAGTAAAAGTAACATTCTGCAAAAGTAGGCTACTCTGTTACATCTCTTGCAATCTAAAAATGGGAAGTAGAGAAGTATTCATCAAAAATATAGTCTGCTCAACGTTCCCAAAGTCAAAGAGGTGAAAGAACTTCCCAGATCTTATATTTAGTTAAAAGTAGAAGTACCAGAGTGAATAGCCTACTCTGTTACAAGTAAAAGTCCTGCATTCAAAATGTAAAAGTAGAAAAGTATTAGCATCAAAATATAGGCCTAGTTAAAGTACCAAAAGTAAAAGTAGTCATTGTGCAGATTGTTCAATTTCAGAATAATATATAGGCCTATGATATGTTTAAGCAATAGCTCACGACAGGCCGTGGTATGGTCATTATATCACAGCTAAGGGGCGTGGTTCGGCCCGACGCGAAGCATCATTATTAGTAAATAATGATGTTCAAAATAAAATAGTCCCTCCGTCGTTGCCTTCTGCACAACACATAGTGCGAGGTGGTTGCTATGCAACAACACTAACAGCTAGCGAACATATTAGACAGAGAGCGTTGATCGATTATTTGGCTATTTATTTACATTAATTTGTATGTTGCCATTTATTGTGCACCCACTGAAAAACTGTCCAGCATCAGTAGAATGGCTTACGTGGTTACTTATAGCCTATAGGTTGAGGTTGTTATAGGCTGTTGCTCGGCGTGGCGAGAATATTGCTCCACTTTCTCCGGTCCCCGAGATTCGGTTTCCAGTAGCTTTCGCACCTGTGGCCACTAACGGTCATAATTTCTCTGCTTTCAAGACCCGCATCAGAAAGCTTTTGAATGGTGGTACTTTTCCAGTTGGTCTACCTGCTCTTCACGTAGCTCTGCATGTCGTCGTTTAGGTGCTTTTTTTCTGGAGATAGACACTGCTCAATAGTATTGAGCAGTGTCTATCTCCTATGGAGGAGTGGATTGTATTGAGTCAATACAATCCACTCCTCCATAGTAAGGCCACCCCGGAGGTTAAAGGGCCCATGTCATGCTGTTCCGGTTATTACCCGTCCCCTTGTGTGTTATGAAGGTTTTTATGCATGTAAACGGTGTGCAGAGTCAAAACCCTCAAAGTACACCCTGTAGCGAGTAAAACTCTAACACAGAAAATACCTCCCCAAAACGCCTCGTTGGAGATACGTCACTGCCCATTTGAGTCTTCCATTTCGTTCCGGGTACGGCATGATGTCATGCGGTACCCGGAACGAAATGGACCAATCCCGAAGAGCTATGGCCACACCCAGCGGCGCTGGCCGCACCCTCTGCCAGCCTAACATTTACTGTTGGAAGCTCTGGTTCAGTTCACAATCGATCCAGTCATGCCAATGCCAAGGACCTGTTTCCTGAAATGGGAGGAGAAATCTGAGCTGTTTGTCCTACCGACGGAAGAACCACGATGAAGTCAGTGGTTGAAATTTCTGTTTAACACTGTTCCTTCAGAGGTTCGAAGAACGTTAATGTGTACGCGGCATTTCACAGACGAAAGCTTCCAAAACATTGCCCAGTTTGAGGCCGGATATGCACAGCATTTGAAACTGAAGGACGATGCTATTCCTAGTTTGTTTGGACCGTTTGGAGCAGGGGAAGATTCGGGTACACAACCTGTAAGTTTGCATTGTTATTTGTGTATTTATCAAACAAGGTATCTACCACGACTGTTTAAATGTGTAAACGTGTTTCGGACTGCTAGCGTTTCCATATATCAACTCTAATATCAGCAGATGGCCTTACATACATGTATCTCATAGCAGGAGAATGTCTGCATTCACACACGAAATACTCATGGACAGTATACTCCGGGTGATTTACCGTACGGTCAGTACATTACAGTTGGCTTTCCTCCGAGCTACGCTGATAGCATGTATAGCTAACGAGGCTAGCTATACATGCTAGCGGAAAACATTGTATTCATGCCAGTTACAATGAATGACCGAATGTAGCAGACTACCCGTATAAGATTGCAATTATAAACACGTTATTGCTAGCCTAATATGAACCACTAGCTTTTGTTCATAGTAGTTTTATTGCACTACATTATAGTTGCCGTTCCTCCGAGCTACCGTTCATATCGTGTTTGCTACCAAGGTAAACAAGAAAGCTAGGTTAGCATATTAGCTGGCAAGCTTACTGTGTTGATTAGATAGATGGATTAGATAGATCCACACTCCTACCACAACTACTACTAACGAATCTAAAACAACTAAGTTTCTCTAATATTTTGTGATTTGCATTTGATTTCGTCCAGCCAGATCCTGGCGGAAAATACATGACGGACGGGACTACCACACTGATGCCTCGTCCTAAAAAGCCCCGGCTGCGATAGGCAAGATGCCGACAACGGGGAGGAATGGATGATATACCGTGTATATATGTATATTTATGTTCATTTTGTACATTTCTAAAAATAAAGTTTGATGGAAATACTTAGTAGGCCTATCCTTTCTTCCCTGAATTATTTGCTCCTATAACATATCATTCATATATAGCAAACCATGATTTGATTTCTCATCAAACAGTATTAGTTTATTACAGGTAAAAATAACTTACTCTTCTATAACAACAGTTGTAGGTACAGTTCGGTTAGTTAGCGTATAAAATATACGGCTGTACTGACGCCATTATAAGACTGATGTTCCGAGAGCGAGCCGAAAAAAGCACTGTTAGACATGGGCGGAGCCTCTCTGGTGGTTGACTAATCAGAACAGAGTGGCCGAGCTGACCAATCGGAGCACACTAGGCTCACAGGGAGGGGGGGGCAAGAGCTCCAACGAGCCGTTTAGTGGAGAGAGTGAATACTGCTGAATACACATACTTTACAGAGATGCTGTATGCGAAACCAATGTGAGTTTGGAAAATTGCACAGTATAAATCTATTTTAGTATACCTCAACAATGTAATTATGATCAGTGGAAATGGCCATGACATGGGCCCTTTAACCTTAAATGTTTCCATCTTAAGCTTTGTTAGTTAGTTTCGTAACGGACGTAATGTAACAGTTGTAACGGTTGTAGCTTTTTCTTAGATGCGGAGGGATACTGACTTGTGAAAAGTAACTACAATTCTACACGTGATATACGCTCATTATATCACGGCTAAGAACCAATCAAATTGCTTGATTTGACTTGTCCGTTTTATAATTTATAATGATTGATCAATAAAGTGTTATCAAAGCTGGTAAAGGTGCAGCTAGTTTGAATGACTTTGTATACGGCAGGGTAGCTTGTGAATTTACTCCATGTGTAACTAAAGTCTGATTTAAGAGTTGATTATTTTTCACATCATTAATCCTAATCTGCAAAGTAATTTAAGGTAATAAATTAATGTAGTGGAGTAAAATCACACCATTAACCTCTGAATTGTAGTGGAGTAGAAGTACAAAGTAGCAACAAATAGAAATACTCAAGTAAAGTAAAGGTCTCTCAAAATTGTACTTAAGTACAGTACTTGAGAGTAAATGTACTTAGTTACTTTACACCACTGGTTATTAGCTAGAGTGTAGAGTCATCTGTATTAAATGACTGCATGTAAAAGTGGAGACAATTTCAATGCCTTTGTAAACTAGTGCTGGATATTGTATTTTTTTGTTATATTTATTTTGTACTAGCCATAATCTGAATCAGGAAAGTATAGTAACTAAAGCTGTAAAATAAATGTAATGTAGTAAAAACAGCAATTGTGGCTTCTAAAGTAGAAATATAAAGTATACAGCATAACATGGAATTACTCAAAAAGTACCACTAACCCAAAATTGTACTTAAGTACAGTACTTGAGTAAATGTACTTTATGATATTACATGAATGCCCTGGGTGGAATGTAACTACATTTACTAGGTAGCCGAGTGTACAGTTTAAAAATATGTATTTTACTTCTAATCTGTAACTGTTTACAAGATGACCTTACCTTTTATCTGACAACTGTTACTGCTTACTTTGCAGATTAGGGATGTCCATACAAAACATGTCCATGCTCATGAAGTGTGGAGTATTGCTGTATCAATCTTTATATATATAATAATATAGCAGTAGTAATAATATGTTTCCGTATGTAATACTGACTGGGTCAGATCTGCAGCATGAGAACTTTTACTTTGATACTTTAAGTATATTTTGCTGCTAAGACTTCAGGACATTTACTTAATAATACTAATATATGCTCTCCCTCCCCCCCTGATAATTCAGTTTGCACTGATTTACCTTAGCAGGGCAGCTTATGTGTGAGCACTGTGCTAATACAGTATTTGTCTTGTAATTGCTGCATTTATAATAAGCACATTGTATCCTTGTATCAGGTATTAAGTACTTCTAAATGTAATAGATGATGGATAAAAACAATCATATCATGCAGATGTCAAACAGATCTGAGTGAGAGAATTTTCTGAAATTCTGTTTTGTTACTAGATTTTCATACTGCTGGTTGCAGCACAGGTCATTTAAAAAACATCCATTCAGGCTCTGGGAAATACAATGTGTGTCTTTCACTATTTTCTGAGACTGTATAGATAAATCTGAAAAATGATATTGACAGAATATTCTATAATGAAAGTAATCACTTATTGCAGCCCTAATGAAAACAGGCCATAGGGTTTGGATTCTTTTCATAAAGGATGCTTCACTGAGTTCATATCAATGTAAATAATCAGAAAACATTAAACACTCATATTTATTAGGACCTGTATTAACGATTACAGCTTGTCAGAGAACATTTTGATGAAATAACCTTTTATTTAAAGAGTTGAATAAACTGCATGGCTCATTTCAAAGCACTCCTAACTTAACATTAAATCATTGGGTGTTGACAGGCGGTACAGCTTGTCAATATTACCCGATCAATGGCTCCAAACGTTATTAAAAACATTCTAAATGCAATCCTCTTAGCATGTCTCTGCAGGATGACTAGAACATATTGTGATTTTCTTCAGTTCAAGGTCTAATTGTCTGAATTTTAAACCATGATGCTAGAAGCCTAACAAGAGCTTTTTGTTCTTCTATAAATTGTTTTGTTGAATATCTAATACTGAAGCATAAGTCCTCTAAAGTGTCCCTGTGTCCAGTTCCTGTCCTCGGTGGAGCTTTTTCCCACTGTTGTTGCTCTATCGTTATCAGCTGACAGATATTTGGTGTAAACAGAAAACTGCCACAGAGCCGTGTATTTTGTTGAGTCCATCTCAAGTGGACTCCCTAATGATATCACGGCAATCAACAGGAGGGTTGTCATGACGACAGGGCAGCAGCAGGCTCTTGTGGGCTCCCTTGTCTTTTCAATGATTAGGACACAAGACTCCCACTGTGGGGCCAGAACTGGAGATTGTCTGGGTTATAATTACTCTGTTATGTTTTGCTCATATTTCACAGAGGATGTCTCAAAAATGAATCAAGACCTGACAGATATGTGACTGTGAGAGGACAGAAGCAATGGGTAAGTTCTTCATAAATGACTTTCCGTTCAAAAGCAGATTTGTAAGGATTGTGGTTGTACTTTAGCAAAGCGAGGTTATTAACAGCTGTAGCATGTTCCTCTGACAGAGACTCATACTGTAGTGTCGCGGCTGATGGCTCCTGTTTGTGCTGAACCCTCAAAAGCTACGTTTAGACGATTGACGGGCAGTCAAAATCATACATCTTTTAAACTCCATCAATCTAATAAGCAATGGACTCTATCTGCAGTCAGTACAAGGAACTGTTCTTATCTTTATGTGTTATAAGACAGAGTCTTCTTTACCCAGCTTTGAGGTCCAGCAGCTTTCAGTTAGATTTGGGTCTGCCTCATTTGCATTTCTGTCAATAGCTTCTGAACATGAAAGACTCACAGGTGAATGTGAGGAGCCGCTGAATGTATCATTTATTAAATAACTCAAATATGATACACACTGTAATCTGATGTAAAACCATTCTGACATTGGATATACTACGCATAAAAGTTTCATTTTGACAGAAAACATTAAAGCACAGTAAACATAAAGACTGCAGCAACTTTTTTTTAAAGGACTTCGATCAATATAAGTCACAAGGCTTGCCCTTTGATGCATTGCGTAAAGCTCATTTATATCTGTTCCTGAGTAAAAATCATTACACTTGTGTTGCTTACTGTGTCATCAAAAGGGGCTCTGTTGTTCTTATCTCAGCAGCAAGATACGTTTAAAGTGGTTCAGTCTGTAGGGGATTAGACTTTGGACCGAAGGGTCGCCGGTCCACGTCCCGATCGGACCAAAAAATACGGAGTGTGGACTGGTACTGGAGAGGGGCCAGTTCACCTCCTTGGCCACTGCAGAAGTGCCCTTGAGCAAGGCACCTAACCCCCAACTGCTCACTGGCGCCGGCTAGACTGGCTGCCTCCACTCTGACCTCTCAATTGCATGTGCATGTGTGCATATACCTGTGTGTGTATTTGTATATGTATGTGCATGATGTAAAAAGTGTGTACTGTGTGTATAAACCTGTACCTGTATAAAAACCAACCCACTCTCTTCAGTCTGCGTACAAATGACACGACTTTACACATTGGAAAGGTGTGCAATAGATACGCAGAAGTCCGATTTTGCGTGCATATGATACGCTAACCATTCCCATTGAGATCTGAGGCCGAGTTTTGCGTGCATATGACACGCCACGTTTCGTGCCTGCACCACTTATTTTTGTCCGGTCGGCTCTTGGTAGACCAGAAGCTATGTGGTTCATAAAAACATGTTCTTACTCAATACCAAGCCACGATTATTGTTTTTATTTTAAATCGTATAATGTCTGACTTTTTTTGCCGTCTGTGAGGAAAAGAAATGTGGCTCAGAGCCTCAGAATAATGAAATCTGTATTTGTTTTTATCTTTTTTTCCTTCTAATTTGTTATTCTTTTCTAAATAACATGTTATTTACTCAACAATAACACACAATTATCCTTGTTTTTATTTATTTGTTTAATTCTATAATCTTGGGCTTTTTAGCATGCTTTTTAGCCGTAAATAAAGTCACCGGAAACAGACGTAGACGGTAAAGTGATTACCCAAGATCCTCAGCTTGAAGCTCGGGATGTTTTAGCCGCAATGCACGTTGGGATATGGTTTTAATGCGATATGATATCCGAAAAAAAAATTCATTCATTTCGCAACATGTTCTATGGCACGTCTCTACTGGGAATTGTAGTTTTAAAAGATGTTTTCGTTTTTCCCAAAATTAGAAGTTGACAGTATTGAACTGTGTACAGCCCTGGAGGTTTAGGCGATAGGAAACAAATTGGTGTGTACAAATGTAAAACATGTAATTACTAAATGGGTGAAAATCGCTTGTGTCCATAATGGGCAGCATTAATATATACCCACATGACAGCTCATTGTTACTTTGTAATTCTACTCCACTACAATTCAGAGGTTAACCTGGTATTTTTACTCCACTACATTTATTTTAGTTACTTTGCAGATTCTGATTAATGATGTGAAATATAAACAACCCTTAAATCAGGCTTTAGTTACACCTGAGTAAAATTCAGTGAAGGTGATTGTCAAGTGCCAACAATCAGGCGAGATATTTGATAGCTGGTGCTTGAGAAGACTAAACATTTATCTGCAGGTCCCTATAAAGTATATTCATTACTCGTTATTCTCTACTAATAGTTCATTAAAGACTGTATATAATGGCTATTTTGCACATCCCTTTCAAGATTTCAAGATTTTCTAAGGTTTATTGACATATCATATTATACACAACTACAGTGTAGTTATGCAATGAATGAAAAACTTGGGTCGCAGGTTCCTCAACAGTGCATCGTCATCAAAGACATCTATCAATATGTGTGTATACCTCCACCATTAAACTGTCAAATTCTGCACATTTCTTATACTATCTACATACATAAGAGTATAATTAATGTGTATAATATCAGTTAAAATAAGTGCTTCAACATAGTTAACATGGCAGGAAAGCAATATATTAGACGTTAAGAACTTTGTCAGGCTTAATATTTATCTGTAGATAGATACCCCCAAAGCTTTTTTCTTATTTAAAAGATGACCTTAACCTAAAGTATTCTTTAATGTGTTAATAAAGGTTAATTAGTTTGTCTGTTTTGTACATCCTCATATTAATATCTTTGTACATCAGGCACTAAACTGTTTTATTGTAGAGATCACTTACAGTATCTTCTTGATTTTTTATATTCTATATTTCTATCATTGACCTTCTACTTTCCCCCTATGAAAGTATGTACTCTTAATATTATATTCATCAAATAACATTATTCAACAAAAATAACATTATTCAACAAAAATAATTCAATAACGTGCTTTAACCACTAGGCGGTGCACACAAGGTACACACAGTATACTAATAATAACTTTGTATTATTAGTGTAGGACACTTATGTATGTATAACATCTGAAGATGTGTCGTTTTATTCATGTTTTTACATAATTGTACAGGATATTGCTATACTATTTCTCATGTTTTACTTCTACACATTAATATCTGATTTGTAAAACATCACAGACAGAAAGGTATATCTGTCATCTGATGGTAAGCTATTGAAATTGTGATTCCATAGATGTGTCTCCCATCACCCAAAACCCCTGACTATTCTTTCAACTCAGTATTTACATTCTTATATTCAAAGAAAATCAGTAATATCTTTAAAAACTACAAGTCCTTTTCTATCAGCTGTGCACCGTTATGGTGTAAATATAACCTATCTACCAATTGGATCAAATATAAAAGTCAGCCAGATTAGTATTGATACTGCAAGGAGACGTATTTTGTGAAAAGAAATGTAAGATGTTGTTTAATTGTTGATATATTTATGATCCACGTCACGTATTCAGTTTCGGCGGCACTTCTTCCTGTTTGTCCAGAAGTCTTGTCATCAGGGCTCTATAAATAAATAACTACGGCAGATGTGTAATATTTAATGCAGCCGAACCGTGTATTACAATGCCGTTATGTGATGACTTCCAAAGAGAAAAGCAAGAACACTCGGAATAAAGTATTATTTTTATTTTTTTTAATGTTTTCGGATTTCACATTGCATAAACACCATCTCCCAACGTGCATTGCGGCTAAAACATCCAATCAGTGAGCTGAGGATCTTTCCTACGTCTGTTTCCGGTATTGTTCCTGTAATGAGAGATCACATTTATGCTACATTGAAGGGTGGAATTGACTACACATCTTCAGAAACATAATTTGCTTCAGATATACTGTAACTCATAGCAATATTGTAACCATTAAGAAAAGCCAACTGCATTAAAAACCCAGTTAACAAACACTAGGTCAAGTATTTTTCTTCAGTAATGAAGATGTAATAGAGTGGCGAAGTCACGCCCATCTACTTCCGACCCATGGGACCTTATTTCGGAAAAATAATGTATTGAAGTCAATGGAGAGAGAAAACTTATCTTTCGATCCCGTTTGAATTGTGCCATGAATTACACATATGATGTTTGTCAATCTTAAAAAATCATTTCCATGTCAAAAAAGTCACAGTTTGTCGTAAAACTGTTGAAATATAAGACTATGAAAAATACGCAACTAGAAAGACTACAAATCCCAGAGTCGCGTAAGTGATGTCACAATAGTTTTCCTCCACTAAGAGATAGCTAAGATTAGCGCTCATATTTCGTGAACCCTTTGAATAGTACTGTCACCGGTGTGATCATTCTATAATACACCATTTAAGCCCGGGGGAGAAATGCTAACGCTAACGCTACATTAGCTTCGGCGATCTTTTCTACTTCATGCTATCTGCACAAATGGTTGACATTAAACATGAAAACGACCAGGCAGTTCAGAGAGAATCAAAGGAAGGCAGGCAGGCAGCTTTGCATGACATTCTTCAGGACGTGTTTCATTGTGGTGATAGTGAGGGTAGTCAATCGTTTTGTTGACAAGACAGTAGTGACGGCCATCTTGGTGATGTGTGTTGTTGACCAGAGATGTAGTTCATTGAGCGTTTCACACAAACAAATGTGTTACTTCACAGTTTTTTTTTTGACTTGCAAAATTATCTTTTAAATTGACAAACAACATATGTGTAATTCGTGGCACAATTCAAACGGGATCGAAAGATAATCTTTCTCTCTCCATTGACTTCAATACATCATTTTTCCGAAATAAGGTCCCATGGAGGTCCACCGGAAGGGGAGGGACTTCGCCACTCTATTCCAATGTAGACACACCTGGGGTCGCTGTTCAGTCTGTTACGCTGAGCCATGCATTGTCTGGAACGTAAAAGGGACGAAGAAGACAAAGTGAAGTGACGTACTTCCGGTTCAACATGAAAACATTCCCAGTTAAAGATGCAAAAACAAATCGCTAAATAAAAAGATAAAACACTGGCATGTAATTTACGTTAGAATAAATAGAATGGTTTTGAATAATAGATGAGAGTAAAATCTACGTCACTTTACTGCCCCGCCCACTTTTGGGGAAACCAACGCTGTCATTTGAACGGCGATCAAGCCTGAAGCCACAGAGCTCTTCTGTTACTGTCCACTCCTTTCTTACAGAAACACGTAACTCTGGATTTGTTTTAATGTTTGAGGTGCAATAAACAACACAGCAGCTTTTTGGCATGTTAAAACTATTATTTTCTGCCTCGCTCATGAGAGTAACAGCTGGAGAAATTACAGCCTCGCCTACTGATTTTAATTTAACCATATATCGAGCCCGATTGTCGATTTCAAATGTGTGTGCTGATATTGTGATATTTATAAATGACTATTATCATTATTATAAGCAAGACAATAAATGGCAAAGATATGTAGAAAATAAACGTATTTAAGATACGTTCATAACAAACGTAACGTGGGAGAAAATATGTTTCTAGAAGATATGTAGAAAATAAACGTATTTGAGATACTGAAGAGAGTGGGTTAACGTGGCGTATCATATGCACGCAAAACTCGGCCTCAGATCTCAATGGGAATGGTTAGCGTATCATATGCACGCAAAATCGGACTTCTGCGTATCTATTGCACGCATTTCCAATGTGTAAAGTCGTGTCATTTGTACGCAGACTGAAGAGAGTGGGTTGATAAAAACGCATGTGTGTGTACGACAGAGTGGAAACTAAATCTCCCCCTCGGGGGATTAATAAAGGTCCATCTTCTTCTTCTTCTTCTTAAAATCCTGATCAGTCTGACGCTACATTTTTACTAGAGACAGTAGAAAAACATGGCTCCTGTGCAGTGGCATAAAGAAACGTCGTTGGTAAACCGTGCTGCTCCCAGCTGTCCTAAACAATTCTGGAAACCACTACTCAACATCTGTACCTCATCCATAGCTTCCTGACGGCAACATTTTAAGGGTTTGAATTACAGACTTTGAAGATAGGTCAGTCATTTTGAAAACACACTCTAAAACAGGGGTGTCAAACTCAAATACACAGTGGGCCAAAATGTAAAAATGGGTACTAGTCGAGGGCCGGACTGGTTCAATGTTTATAGCAAAACTTATTGAAATGAACTTATTGCACATATTAAACCTGGAACTAACAAAACTTAAATGATTGCCTATAAAAACAACATTAAACATTAAATAATCAGTTGCATTCATTTCTTATGGCTCTATCTGCAGCATCAAGAGTCATTTCTTATGATTACATTTCTCCACAGGCCAACAACAGCTTCAACAAAACTATTCCCCTCAAAGAAAAAACCAACCATGCCCTGTTGTCACAAGAAAGAAAGTGCAGAAGGAAACATCCATGTAAACTCAGTGTGCTGCTCTGTGATGCTAGTTCAAGCCAGATACTTGGCATCTCATCTTGGGTGCAAGTTCATCAATGTTTGGGGTCAGGCTCTGAGCTGAGGAGATCCTCAGGATTGAGTGAAGGTGTGCGTGCAATATACCGGCGGGCCAGATCTAATAGTAATTAGAAATTATCCTGCGGGCCGAAATGAAATCCACCAAGGGCCTGATTTGGCCCCCGGGCCTTGAGTTTGACACATGTGCTCTAAAATGTATCTCCCGTCAAGCCATAATTAAATCAGGCAATTCCATTTTGATCCACTCTATATTTCTTATTTTGATTGGTATTTATGGAGTTGCTTTTTATTTTGGAGTCAGCCTCTGTTGGTCTTGAGTGGTACTGCACCTTAAAGAGGCCAAATGCTGCTAATTTCCAGGTTCATATTAGTATAGTGTCTCTACTTTAAAGAGTCCTCTCCTGCTCATGCTCAGGTTCATATCAGTATTTAGTGTCTCTATGTCTCCATGCTTTAATGTACAAAAAGCTCTTTATTTTTCTCATACTGCCTCAGATCTGGTGAAAACCCTATTTAGTTTCAACATTTAATTCCCATGTTCATCATAGTTCATTTTGGTGTGTTTATGTATATATGTTTTCAGTGTACTCCACTCAAAGAGTAACTCATGTGAATGTGTTCCTCCCTCGCAGGGATCTCCACCCTCCTGTTGGCCAGTGTGGTGTCCAGTCTTGGCGGCCTGGTCTATGGTTATGAGATGGGCATCATCTCTGGGGCTCTGCTGCAGCTCAAGGCAGAGTTCAGCCTCTCGTGTTTCCAGCAGGAGGCCGCGGTCAGCTCCCTGTTGGTCGGAGCTCTGCTGGCCTCCATCGTGGGCGGAAGCCTGATCGACCACCGGGGCCGCAGGAACTCCATCCTCCTCAGCAACGTGTTGATCCTGGCCGGCAGCCTGGTCCTGCTCATCAGCTCCTTCTCTGCTCTGCTGGTGGGCCGGATGACGGTGGGCTTCGCCATGTGCATATCCTCCATGTCGTGCTGCATCTTTGTGTCTGAGCTGGTCCCCCCAGAGCGCCGGGGATTCCTGGTGACGCTGTATGAAGCTGGGATCACTGTGGGCATCCTGGCAGCATACACCATGAACTACTTCCTGTCTGACTGCAACAGAGGGTGGAAGTGGATGTTTGGATTAGCCGTAGTACCGACTGTGATTCAGCTCGTCTCCATCTGCTTTCTTCCATCCAGCACTCAGGAGTCTTTAAGCCAAAGCTCTCAAAGTGAAACAGACCTGATGAGTTCTGATGGCGTGGAAAACAAGAAGGTTCAGTACAGCAGCATATTCCTGTTCCAGCGTAAAGACAACATGAGGATCCGGACCGTGCTCGGCCTCGGGCTGGTGCTCTTCCAGCAGTTCACAGGCCAGCCCAATGTTCTCTTCTACGCCTCCACCATCTTCCACTCAGTGGGCTTTCAGAGCAACTCCTCGGCAGTGCTGGCGTCTGTGGGCCTGGGATCGGTCAAAGTGATCGCCACTCTGACCTCAATGCTGTTCTCAGACAGGGTGGGCAGGAGGCCTCTGCTCATCAGCGGATGCTCTGTGATGGCTCTGGGTCTGATCACCATCGGACTCCTCAGTGGATATTCAGAGATGAATGCTGAGAGGCCTTGTAACTCTGACAGCATTAATATTAACACAACACATCTACCTCATTTAGCTGTTAGTAATCAGACACTTTTTGATAGGCCTTTAGAGGAGAGCCAAAGTCTTTTTAATAACCACGCACAAGATGGAGATGAGGTTCTTGACACTCTGGCATCTTCTCCTGGCGTCCATGGCACCGCTGTGAACTGGATCATCCTCGTGTGCATGATGGCTGTCGTCAGTGCTTACTCCGTTGGATTTGGACCAAGTTTGTACATTTACTCAAAATGTTGTTGTTTTTTCAAATTTTGGATCTAACTATTCAGAATTGTACAGACATGTAATGCTAGACAAGACCAGATTGATCACAATACAACCGTAACACTTTCAGTCTACATTAATAAGTATTGTGGAGATGCTAGCATTCAATGACACTTATGGAGTTGTTGGAGCTGTGACATTAAGAAGTGTTTTTGTCTTTGAACAGTGACCTGGCTGCTCCTGAGTGAAATATTTCCAGCTGCCATCAGAGGAAGAGCATTCGCTTTCATCAACTGCTTCAACTGGGCTGCCAACCTGTTGGTCACCTTCACGTTCCTCAATTTTATCGGTGAGTTCCCAAACACCTCTCTTTTCAAGAGGATATTGTGTCTAGTCACAGTGGTAAAAAGGCAGGGGGTCAATGATGGTTGTGTTCCATTAACATTTCCAAGTGAGTCAGCAAAAATACTAACGTGGCCTGAACTGCAAAAAGCCACAAATGGTTAATTACACGTGCCTCATTTATCAACTACTAAATGTGATCTAAAATGGTAGATCCATAGTATCTGTGTAGCAACTAATTATCACCACATATGAGCTAGATATGACGAACATGCTAGAAAACAGTGCCTCATCCTCATCCAGCAGACATGTCAGCATAGTCATGTTTGTGCCCACCTGTTCTCTCTCTTGGTTCTCCACAAACTCCTGAGAAAAGATAGCTCTTTAGCCGCTAAATGCTATTAAACTTTGACTAGCTAGCACGCTCCAGTCCTGTAAGTGGTGCCATGCCGCCAGCATCGCAGCCATTTCCCCCACCAATCATTGGGGTCATACATTAATAACAGATAAACTGCATAGCTTTATGCGTATGTCTTTATTTTAGAAGCAAATAAAAACACCAAATGAATAGTGACATTGGATGTCATAAGCCGACAGTAATAGGGAAAAAAACCACACTTTTTAAAATGTGTACATTTTTTTATTCAGTAATCACTGAAAGTAATTTGTTTAAAGGAATTAAAGTGATCTAATTGTAGTGACCCTAGTACTGTGTATGTTGACTCATTGGCATGGCTTACCAAGATCATTTAATAAGTAGTACAAGTCAAAATATCTGCTGCAAAACAAGGTTCTACATGATGAACAAAGGACAGACACTGTGGATGGACCAGACCGCTGTGAAGGGCTTTAAATTCATATGAAGAAAATAATCATAATGCAGCTTGAAAATAATATTCAGATCAGTACTTGTTTCTATCTGAACAATGTTATGAACATTTGATTTACTTGAGGCCGTAAGAAAACGTCTCCAGATCACTCTGTCGGGCCGGAATTCATTGATAAATTAATTTCCGTTCTTACATAAAATCCTCTAAATGTCATATATTCTTAAGAGTTTTTCCCTGACTTCCAATAAAATGTTGGCCCCACAGACTGAGCTGTGTTTTGAATCCACAGATGTGGTGGGTCTGTCGGGGATATTTCTCCTGTACGGTGTGACGGCTGTGGCTGCTGCAGTTTTCCTCTACTTCATGCTACCAGAGACCAAAGGGAAGACTCTGGAGGAGATAGACAAGGAGCTGCGTTTGAACAAGTAGGATCTGTATTTGTCTGATGAAATACACAAAATCATGTCAGACGGCATCCTGACACACTGATGTGTGTGTCCTTGTGTTCCAGGTTTTACCACAGCGAGGATTGCTGTAGCATCATCAGCCGGAGAGGCTTTTCCCGACAGTACCAGAGAGTGCACTGCCAGGTTGTCACCTCAGGGTGATGCATTGTATGATGTTGACATACCATGACACTTGGACTGATGCTAGTCTCTTCTCTGCGGCAAAGCATGTGTTGTATCTTTGTAAAACATGCAAACGGCTTGTTTTTGTGTGTTCAAGTGTGTTGTTCTTGAACACACATGATTCAGTAACTACGTCACTGTTGCAGCTTTACCAGCTGCTGTAGTTTCACAGAGCAGAACACTTTTGTAAAGGGCCTTTTTGCTTAAAAATAATTCAGTTTCAACAATAATCTGCAGATTTGTTTACTGGCCATCTGATCATTTAACACCGTGTTCCCTTTGTAAAAATAATTGTGACGTAACATTGTTGACGGGAAAAATACAATACTTGAAATGATCCGAGTCTTGAGTCCTAGATGTGTTTTGGTATTGCTTCTTCTCAGCATGGCCATCCTGAGCAGTTGGGGGCAGTGGGTAATTATTTGCTGTCGATTCCCAGGTCCCATGATGTACTTTTCACACAGCAATACAAACCTATAGCATTTCATTCATGTTTTTGTCAACAAAATCCATCAACGGATTGCAATACAAACTAAAGTGTCCGGTATATTGCTCAAACAAGATTTTAACATCTTTGAATGCACTATATATACACAATGTTTGAATTTTCCACACAAGGGCTGCACATTAAAGACATAATGCAGGACAGTCCATGGTGTGCTTTACTGGTGTTTTGTCTAACTCAAGACTGTTGAAGGCTTAGAAGGCTTAGATGACCTAATAACTCTTTAACTCCACTTAACCCTTTTAGCTCCTCATAGGAGAGGATTACTTACGCCATCATGGACAGCAGGAATACTTAAAGCAACTAATAAGTGCTCTCAAAAGTACATTCAAAATTATTCACTCCAAAAAACTGAACTAAAACCGTTTAAAAAATATATAATTTGGAAACTGCATCCCTGAACCGAGTGATGTGAGAGGTCTGTATGAACATGACAGACATAAATCAGTCAGATGTACCTGATAAATAAAACACGTGTTTATTTACACAAATATTTCCAAATACTAGTCTTCTACATAGGGACATACAAATATATACAGTGATGTAGGGACTCAAACCGCTCCATTCTCAGGTCAATGTACACATGTTCGGATTTATTTGCATTTACAGGTTTTGAAATGAGAAAAAAAATGCTTATGTACAGCAGGGTCTAAAACGTACAGATCTGGCACTAAAACACTGGGAACACTTCAAGTGCTATTCAACTCCAATAACTCTCTTTACATGTCGATGAAAGCCAGTAAACGCTCTGACTCCTGTCACTACATAACACAGGTGACCTTTCCTCAACACTAACAGCACTTCAGTCACCTGCAGAGGATTATTGGATCATGTTGTCATCCTATTTACTAGAACCCATATTTCAGTGTCTCCATGAGGAGCTCCCACACAACTAGGTTTGGTCAGTCTCTCCTTCCAACCAACTGAGTAAACTTTGGTTATGTCTTGAAGTAATTCAAGAAAAGCCACTTGAAGTAATTCAAGGAACTGGAAAGCAGCACATTTGAGAACCTGAATGAACCTTACCTGGCTCCTTAAAGACCCTAGTACAAAACTAGAGCCGATCAAACCACTTGATGGTGATAAACCTTAACCAGCTATACAAAACTAATTATTAACGGATGACTTGACGGAGAGTCGCATATCAAAAGAAGACTTGTGATCTGGTTTGGTAAGAAAGGCAAGACAAAACTACTCAGGCAGATAAAGTGTCATTGTGTTCACAAACACCTAGAGCACTGAACAGCACCAAAAACGTCCAAAATGCTGTGACCTGGAGGGCGGTACACTCATCGGGAGAGGATTACAGCGCATCAGGTCTTGTTCTGTTGCTGACGCTGCAGCAGTAAACTATACAGGATGATCCTTTTGGTCCTGATAGCCAACACGTCTTTGCCTTCTGATGCCGTACTTATTGACCACTTCCTTCACAAGCCAAACTAAATCACACAGGAGTCAGCTGTGGATGACAGCGCTCTCAGACTCAGCACACTACGGCTTGTGGGAAAATCAAAGGAATACCTGTATATTTCAATTACACAGAACATTCATTTCAGATGTCAGGGTAACAAGTTCAGGAGAGGAACGGAAAAACATCGTTCTTTTCTGAGGCGACGGCGTCCTGCAGCTGGGAGGTTGGTGAGCGGGGTCACAGAGTCAGGTTGGATGTGGGGGGGTGGGGCTGGCCGAGTGGCACCTGTCGGGTTCCCCCCCCCAGCCGTGGTGGTGGAGGACTTGGGAGAGCCGAAGGGGGGATTGTTTAGGGTGAGATGTCACTGCGGGGCCGCGGCGGGCACCGGGGGGCTCAGGACGGTGGTGGCAGCAGAGAGGACCGGGGAGCCGGTGAGGGGGCCCAGGGCAGTGGAGACTGGCAAGGCAGAGATACCTGAGGGAAGAGAGGGGGGCCACGAGGGGGGTTAGATACTTAATACTGTGTGTTCCGTCACATGGGCAGAGAGGGTGGGTTGGACTACCCTATCAAAAGAAAATGAACCAAAACCCACACTTGGGATGAGCAGGTGCCACATGTGGCACAGAGTGGGTTTGTACGGGACAATGAGGGACATGTTACTGCGATGATGTATTTTAGATTTCAATATGATGTCCATCTAGTTCTTAAAAATAAAAATGTCTATTTAAACTATTAGCCTATAAATATGAATGACAACGCTTTACTACAGCTGATTTGTTTGCACAAACTATGTAACTTTATACGCATCTCTCACCACCACAAACTCTCAGAACAACTCCTAATCTGTTTCAGAAACTGCAGCTGGGCCCCTATTCAGGCATCTATTACTAATGTGTTTGCTAATACTAATGAAACATTCTAATCACATCTTTAACCTGTTAAGCCTTGAGCCTGTTTTTCAGGTCTCAGGCTCGAAAATGACATTCCCAGAACAAATGACTATATCTTCACTTCTAAAAGGGGTAAATTAATCATCTTTTTTCTCAAAGCAATGAGTTGGATGTAGAAAAGTCAGAATCAATATAGATGTTTTTATTTTAAAGTCAATTCAGATTGAACATAGTCAAAAATATATAAATTATAGTTTCCGTCCAAAAAAACAACATGACTTATAGTGAAAACCACCCTTGAATGATGGGATGGTAGACTAAAAGCTTTAGGAATCCAAACTATAATATATAATAAGTACCCTGTGTCAAGATTGATGCAAAACAAGTGACATTTGACCTTTTTAGAGAGGTTTAGCAAAGAAAAAACACTTCTGGGGTCATTTGGGTGGATTTGACCTATCTCTGGAACCCATCGGTCGATTTTGATGATTGACACCTCTTTTGAACCGTTAGAGCCAATAGAATCGAGGGGAAGTTCCTAAATCCATCTAAACATTACCATTGATGAGTGAGAGTGATGCGTACACAGTTTGCCCAAAACCGGAAGCTGCTCATAGCTCTCATAGCAGCTAATATGAAATCTCAGTTTTTGACAAAAATGGAATGATGGATTATCAGTAATCATTTCAAAGTGACACAGACACATTGGATTAACCTTCAGCAGCGTTTCTATCGTTTTAATGCCATTGAACACAACTTTTGATCAGAAAACAGCAAAGGTAAGACGTATTTGCCGTTTTGGCTCCGTAAAGCTACGTTGTGTGTTGTCTGGGTTTGCCTGAGCTGCCGCGAGTTTTGGTCGAACAGTGATGATACTTATACCTCTAGAATCTGTGGAATATCAACTTTAATCTGATATCTTGTTTGTGCAGATCCGATAAGTAACAAAGTATTTCTACCGTGAGTGCGTTAGCATTTTCTCGCTGTTTTGTTTCGTATCGTCAGTTAGCTGAGTTTCTTCCCGTTAGGTGGGTATGACACATTCATAGTTTATTAAATGTTAAGAAGCCCTCAGACGCTGTTTCTTGCCAGATGTTGCGTCATGCCCCCGCCAGTGGGGGCATGGGGCTTAACAGGTTAAAAAGTATTTGTAGTTTTGCTCCAATAACAAACACTTGCTATACTTTTGTTAAACTCTTATCCAAGATCTCAGTAAGTTGGTAGAGGTAAGTATTGACATATTGTTTACAACATGAGGAACAATCTTATTTCAGCAATAGAAACACATTTTGGTTGGTGTGTGTGTGTGTGTGTGTGTGTGTGTGTGTGTGCTCACCAGTGATCATGCTGGATGAGCTAACAGCTGTGTTCCCACTGGCCAGGTTGGCTGACGCGGCCCCACGAGACTGATCCTTCACAATGGGGACTGCAGGAACAACAGAAATAAAGAAATCACTTATTTTGTCATTACTGTTACGGATTGTTTTTTCATTTTTATGAACACCCACAGAAGTAGGGGTGGTCCATGGCCTCTCGGGCCGTCAGCCGGGCCTGGTGGTCGTAGCGCAGCAGCTTGTCCAGGAAGTCCAGAGCCTCGGGGCTGACCAGGTGCTGGTTTTCACTGTGGACAAAACGCTCCCATCGCTTACGAGAATGCCTGAAGGAAAAAGCAGGGATGAACCCAACTGTTACTTTATCATTTGGACTTGCTCAAAATGTGTAAATATGGAGTTAACATAGGGGTTGATGGAAAGAAAGCAATAGGTTGTCCAAGACACCGTCCTGAGTCAGCAGTAACAGCCCTTACCTCCCCAGAATGTCGTTGAAGCGCGGTTCCAGCTCAATGTTGTACTTGTCGATGTAGTCGTACAGGTCTTCAGTCCCCAGAACCTTGGCTATTCTCACCAACTACAGGAGCCCAAACAAGGATACATCAGTCTGTCAGCTCTGTATGAGACTGTGTAACCCTCAAGCACACTAATCTACATTGACCCCAGTCGGTGACTGAAAATATTGAGTTCATGGAAAAATTGCACGGTTCATATATTGCTGTTGCCGTCTATTAAATACATTTGTTTGTGGCTTTACAGAAATGGGAGAATTGCTCTGCGTGCATTCATGGGGGGGGGGGTCACACACAGACAGAAGTGCTCCTTCCAGTTTAAATTTACTAGATTAAGAGGTTTCATTTCATTGAACAAGTTAAACTGAAAAATATTAAGTAAGTGAGCCACAAGTAAAGAAGATAAAAAAAGTGCATACAGCGGCATGTACACCGGAATGAAAGCAAGAGGTTTCACAGCTGAGCACTATGGCCCAGCGGTTAGCGGGTACAGATTTTTGTTTGTTTTCTTAAATCAAATGTTGCCCCATCAGCCAACCCCGCTTTGTGTTTACCTGGTCGTAGTTGTCATGGCCATGGAAGAAGGGCTCCTTCCTGAAGATCATGCTAGCCAACATACAACCCAAGCTCCACATATCAAGACTGTAGTCATACATCTGAAACACACAGAACATGTATGATACCTCTGAAACACACAGAACATGTATGATACCTCTGAAACACACAGAACATGTATGATACCTCTGAAACACACAGAACATGTATGATACCTCTGAAACACACAGAACATGTATGATACCTCTGAAACACACACACACACACACACACAGTAACCCCCGTATTCCTCCGGGTCCGTCTGCGCCGCGTTACGGCCGCGCCATGCACAGCGATCGTGGCCACTCTAGTCAATGCGTGTGTTTCCAACAGACGCACCCCGTTGCGGCTCAGAAGCACCTCGGCACTGGGCACCGCTAAAAATAGGCGGCTCGTCTATTTTTGACGCGAGGCGTTGCATAGCGCTGGGCAGGAAGTGGATCCATTCAATCCCCAAAATAAACTAATTTTGCAGACCCGTAGTCTTTCAAGTAGGAGAATAAATGCCAGCGTTCTCCTCCGGTTTACAGGCACTGTGTAAATTATATAAATAATTATGATGATGAATGCATTTTTTTACCATTAAAATACAGCAACACATCTTTGATTCATGTCGTTTATAACTGGAATATTACAATTATTATTAACTTTGTCTGTACTAGGGATGCTCCGATCGATCGGCCGCCGATCGATATCGGCCGATACTCACTCTCTGCCAATCGATCGGTGCTCTCTAAAAAGGCCAATCGCGAGAGCTGATCGCATGATGTAAAATACATGACACTTTTCTCTGTGCGCGGCAAAACAAGCTCGCCAAAATGGCTTCACTAGTCTGGCAGTATTTTAAGGTGTCCGAAAAAGACAATAAAATAGCGGTATGCAACGTGTGTGTGAAGCAGATCCTGCAGCTCCACCCGCTGTGACGGACCGGTGAGCGGAGCAGAACACACATTAAGAGTTAGACCTAACACACTTAGCTATTTTATCTACCTCTGGAACAAGCTAAACTAGTTATAAATACGTTTATTCTTCACTGTCGGGTCACTCATTACTGGATCAGTGAGCTGCATGAGATACTGACAGGCTGTCAGGAGAGAGAGAGAGAGGGGGAGAGAGAGGGAGAGAGGAAAAGAGAGCACTTCCGCTCATTTCTCCCATGTTATTATCCAAAGTTAATGTAAACTTGAATAATGTACATCATTTGAATGTAATAATTATGTTGGTTGTTGTTTGTGGAAGCGCCAGTGAATGAGCCCCATTAACTGAGTTTTAAACATCACTTTAAATGGAAGATCCCCATAGGCCCCGCCCACTCGATCGGATCGGTGATCGGCCGATACTGATTCCGGCGATTGCCCCCAAAATTGGCGATCGGAGCATCCCTAGTCTGTACAAATGAACCTGTCCAGGAAATATGCCCAAATCAACCAAAACTGCGAGCCGCCACGCAAGACGCTCCGCTTCTGAAACGCGCCCGGTGGGGTTTGACGCTGTAGGAGGTCGGAACAAAACCGCGTCGCAGCCGGACCCGGTACGTGTGTGTGTAGATATAAAATATCAAAAAATTCAAGGTCAGTAGGTTTGGAGAAAAATACTGAAAAGTGAAGAGCAGTGTCTCAGATTACATGTGTAACAGATCATTAAGACACCGCTTGGATACCTACGGATGTAAATGATATGTAATGTAACCATGTCAGCTCAAACTAAAGTGTGCCCGCCCCCCCTGTACCTGATAGTCCACCAGGAGCTCGGGGCCTTTAAAGTAGCGGGAGGCCACTCGGACGTTGTACTCCTGTCCTGGGTGGTAAAACTCGGCCAGCCCCCAGTCGATAAGGCGCAACTACAGACAGATATGAAGCAGTTAGTTGTTGTCCAACACAAGATACAAAAAAATGGACATTTACTTATTTCTCATGCATTACTTAAATAATGAGTGCAACTAGTCAATGGGGGGGAAAAAGAAAACATAATAGACAAAAAGCTTCAGGACAGCAATAATCATCATCTTTTAGAGCAGTGCAGAGATTACACATTTTGTATACCCAGAAATTAGCATCACATGGGCTCCCTCAATTAAAAGTAGGGCTGTGCAATTAAATCGTATTTTTAATCGCAATTACGATTTTGGCCTGCCACAATTACGAAAACAACATAATCGGAAAAAACAATTATTTAGCTTTGCTAGGTTGTGACAGTGCACTGCAACATATTTGATCTAATTAATTTTAGTCTAATTTATTTGTATTTATCATATTTCTATATTTTTAGTAGCTTGTGGAAGTGCGCTCCAAAATATTTGTTGATCTTGTTTATTGGTATTTATTATTTTGATATTATTTATTTAAATGTATAATTTATTTTATTTATTTTTGTATTGGTTTTTCAGTTTAATTATACGCTCAGGGAAATCAACAGTTAAAAAGATACTGTTCAAATTATTATTTGTTTTAAAGTTCAATAAATTGATTTTTTCAAAGTCAATGAATAATCGTATTTAATAATCGTGATATCAATTATTGACCCAAATAATCGTGATTATGATTTTTCCCATAATCGCACAGCCCTAATTAAAAGGCAATGGGACTTTTGGGTTGGATTGAGGCAGAAAATGAGATCTGTTGCCAGAAGCGTTTATGATATTCTCCATTCAGCACTTAAATGATTTTTGAAGTGCAAATCCAATCACCAAAAGTAAAAACATTAGGCCATCAACACACAATATCACATGACTTCACAGCCACCTATAAGCTAAAGGTGTTCAGCGTGACGACATTAAGTCACTTATTAGCAACCGCTGTTTTATGACACATAGCAGCTTTAGACAGTGTTCATTTCGTTGACTAAAACTATGACGAAATATGTTCGTCAACGACCTTATTTTCCATGACGAAAACGAGATGATGACGAGACGGCAATAACTGTAACGAAATCAACATGCAATATCGTTGACGAAAAGTGACGAGACGAAAATGTAGTTTACTAAATAAAAACTATGCCAAAATCTCTCTTTACTTTCGTTGACGAAAAATGAGGAGACGAAATATTATCAAAGATAACGTTACATCTCTGATAGTCAGTTTTTCTCCCAGCAGTTCAATTTCCGGTGCTGCGGCTGGGCAGCAGCTGTGTGTCTGTGCTGCGCGCGGCGGTACATTTGAATTACACCGGGCAGCGGCACACTGTGAACTGTCAGGAAGACTCGGGTCTAACTCATGGTCTAACTAACCTTATTTAACAGAAAATAAAATGGCAACAACAGGGCTTGGGAGCAGTGGTCGCACTCGCGTTAACCGAATACCACCCCCCCCCCCGTCAGCGCGAGTGAGTGATACATTGTGCACTCAACGGGTAATAATGGATTATGACGTAAATGTTACGATCCTGTCCGTCAAAATGACAGACAACGAAAAAGTGATGTGATATTTGGGCCCATTTTCGCTACAATGAGGCGGAGAAAAAAAGCGAATGCATTGTTTTATCAGAAGGGAAGCAATGTGGCCATAATACAGCTGGTAAAAACACCACAAACCTGACCAGATACTCTCTGCAAAGCTGCATTCTTAATCATTCAACCTGTGTTTTTCATCAAATAAGGACAAGATATAATCTTATTGTGAAATAAGTTTGACTAAAATGACAAATTATTGGTTTTGGCTAGACTAGTTTGACTGAAATGTTCTATATGACTAAAAAAAACTCAACAGTTTTCATGGACAAAAAGTAGACTAAAATAATTAGTTTTCTTTGACTAAAATAAGACTAAAATGCTCAGACTTTTAGTCGACTAGAACTTGACTAAATAAAAACAGGATGAAGGTGACTAAATATGACTAAAACGGAAATTTAACACAGGACTAAGACTAAAACTTAATAAAAAAATAGCTGAAGAAATTAACACTATTTAGACATTTAACAGTGTGGTAGGTTTTGGGTTTAAAACAAAACGTGATCATTTCAGCTTGTGTTAACCAAAGACCTAATTTCAGGCTTCTAACCAAAAACATGTTCAAAAAACTGTTCACTTTTAGACGAGGGAACCAGAAGTGTTAAAATGTTAAGTCAAGTCTAGGTTTTAGGACTCATTCCTGAATCACTCTTTTGCTAAGGTAAGCGAGACATTGTTTGACTTCATCACTTACCTTGCGGTGTTCATGATCAATCATCACGTTATGTGGCTTCACGTCTCTATGCATGATTCCCATGCTGTGGCAGTAGTCTAGGGCCTACAGACAAACAAACTGTTATTTGTTGGTCACAGGTTTCATTAGAAAAATTCCAAGAAGATGATGCCTACAAGACTAAACCCACAATCTTGATTGCCTTAACAATGGACTGTTTCTGCCAAAATACCCAAGCTTGTACAAACCCCCAGAATATCAATGACAAACAGTCTTGATTAAGGACTTAATGCTTCACATCCTCCGGACATTTAGAGGTTAAAGATAATGAGCACAAAGATGGCTGAAACATTACTCACCTTTAGGATCTCGTACATGTAGAACCGAATGTCATAGTCTGCCAGAGTCTGGTACAGTTGCTGGAGACCAAAACAATGTCATTAGTAATGTCTTACAATAAACACACAGCACACGTTCATGAGACAGTCATACATGACTCACAGGCAGCTGTGGAAGTGTACCAGTTATTGAGGATAGAACCAGAAGATGGTGGACTTTCTGGCACCGAAGACATAGAACTGGACTTTCATATTCCTCCATCACAAACACACACGTGTACAGAAAAACAACGAGCATGCCAAGAAAGGAGGTGTCCACATTTGTTTAGCTCTTACCTTGAAGTCTGTGTTGTTAACATGCTCGAATACCAAGGCGGGCGTCCGGGACTGAAATAAACATTTAAATATCAATATTTGTCTTTTTAATGCGTTGCAGTCTTAGCCAACAATTTCTACAATTGGTTAAATATTTCTATTGGACATAAAACACTGTATTAGCTATTGTTCTAATGCAAACCTAAACTAACCAGGAAGCCACAATGTGAGCAACACTATGACCAAGTCTCCAAATGTACATTTATATTCTGTAGCTGTACACGAGTACGCAAGGAAACTTAGCCAGCATGTGGACGGTCAACATCCCACCACTGTCACTGGCCAATCCAAACAGATCTATTGTTGGGTTGATGCAAGTGCTTATGTAAGTGTTTAGTTTGTTCATTTAACACGCTAATATCATTAGTGACACTAGAATCAAAAATACAGTCTGTTGACCATAACCACATGTGTTGCTTAAAGTATGAACTAGAGCTGCGATCAACCAATCCACTTTCACTATCTATTGATGGTTTTATTTTCTATTAAATCAGCCTCTTAAGTTGCCAGAGTCCACGTGATGTTCCCAAACTGCTTTGTCTGTCTAAGCAGCAGATTACATTACATTACATTTAGCTGAGGCTTGTATCCAAAGCGACTTACAATAAGTGCATTCGACCAAGAAGATACAAACTTGAAGAAAACAGAATCATATAAGTACATTAGGTTTCATAGAGCCAAAACATTTCAAGTGCTACTCAACTGGCTTTAGATAAGCCAGTCCTTAGTTAGTATACGAGTGCTTAAGTTTACATTGAAAAGGTAAATACAAATAAAGAATTATTTTCCAGTAATGATAACAAAAAGGGGTACCAGGTGAAGGAAGAACTATCAGGACAGTCAGTTAATCAACATGTTTTAGCACTATTTTAAAAATTGTCTGAGAAAGGTTGCTTCCTCAACTGTGGATTAGGGTGGTCCTTCAAATTGAAAGTCAGAAAGTCTAAGCTCCAACCCCCAGAAATCATTATATTAGTCAAGAAAACTCTCCTGGTGAATTTTTTCCTCAATCTGACAACATTTACCCCTCCCTCATCGACCTGGAAGTTTAGCCTCAGTTGCAGCACCGTGCTGCTGGTGTGGCAGCCCAGGTCGATGAGGGAGGGGTAAATGTTGTCAGACTATGTCCTCCAACTATCTCAAACTAAACAGCAGGAAAACAGAGCTCATGGTTGTGGCACCCAAGGCGCTGCTCCAGAAGGTTGGTGACTTCATCCTCGAGGTTGACGGCTGCTCCATCTCCCCATCTCCTGAAGCCCACAACCTGGTTGTCATCCTCGACTCCACCCTTTCCTTCCACTCCCACGTCAAGTCTGTGACCAAATCGGCCTTTTTCCATCTAAGGAACATTGCCAGACTCCGACCGTCACTCTCGGAGTCGGTTGCCGAAACCCTAGTCCATGCATTTGTCACCTCCCGCTTGGACTACTACAATGGCAAGTGACTGTTTGGGGTCCCCAACAAAACCCTGGACAGGCTCCAGTATGTTCAAAACTGTGCTGCTAGGGTACTCACAAATACAAAGCCGTGGCAGCACATCACTCCCACCCTCATCCACCTCCACTGGTTGCCGGTCAAGTCCCGCATATCAATCAAAATCCTCCTCCTTACCTACAAGTCCCTCCATGCCCTTGCCCCCCAGTACCTATCGGACATCCTTCACCCACAAGCCCCACCCCGGAACCTGCGGTCTTCAGACTCTGGCCTGCTTACCACCCCCCGCACCAAACTGCGAACCTTCGGGGACAGAGCCTTCAGTGTGGCAGCCCCCACCCTCTGGAACGCTCTCCCTGCGGAGATCCGCAACATCCCCACGCTTGACGCCTTCAAAAGGGCCATCAAGTCCCATCTGTTTGCCAAGTCCTATGGCCCCTAATCTATTTGTTGTTTTGTCTGTCTGACTGGTTGTCTGACTGCCTTTTGTTTTGTTATGTTTGTTTTGCCCTGTTCTTCTTTGTAAAATGACCTTGGTCCTCATGAAAGGCGCTATATAAATCCAAGCTATTATTATTATTATTATTATTATTATTATTGAGGAAAAAAATTCACCAGCAGAGTTTTCTTGTCTAATGGAATAGGGGTTGGAGCTTAGACTTTTCGACTTTCAATTTTAAGGACCACCCTACTGAGGCTAAACTTCAAGGTTGATGAGGGAGGGGTAAATGCTGTTGGAATTTGAATAAAATTCACCAGGAGAGTTTTCTTGACTATCATAACGAATTCCGGTGGTTGGAGCTTCAAATAAATGAATTTGAAAATGTACATGGCACTAAGGACCACCCTACTGTGGATACGTTGTCATAATCTGGAAATCAGTCGTTTGACTTTACAATTAAATCCCAGAATTAATTTAGAAAAAAGGCATAAGGCGCGTTCACACCGCAGTACTTTTCCCACTTTAGTTCCGATATAGTTCTGAAATGTCACGTTCACACCAAAAAGAGCCGGAACTAAAATGAGTTCATCAGAACCTTTTTACCCCCTTTTCAGTCCCTGCTAGAGAGCAGGTACTTTGGTGGGATAAAAAGGTTCCTATGTCTGATTGGCTGGGCGGAATGCAAACCACGCCCCGTAAAACTCCCAAAAGGTTTTGTGAAGCCGCCATTTTATTATCCTCGCATTAGCATTATTAGCATTAGCATTAGCCCAGCGCACAAACGCAGAGAGACTAACTTATGGCAACACAAAAGAAAACATGGGAGCGGTAGAGATGAGGAGGTGTCGGCGTTCTGGCGATTTACTCGGAAGGCTTCAGTAGAAGCTGCTGGGAGTCCCAGCAGCTTCTACTGAAGCCAGTCCCTAACTCCGGGGACTTCCGGCCGGGGACTTCGGGTGGCAGTATACGCCGTGAAGTTGTTTGCGGCCTGCCAGTAAACCCAAAGCAGAAGAAGAAGAAGTGACGTCATCGGCTTTATTTGCCTAATCCTCCCCCAGGGACTTATTCCGGTGTGAACGCGATCTGTACTTAGTTCATCAGAACTAAAGAGTTCTGATGAACTAAGTTCTCATTAACCTTTGTGGAAAAAGTACTGCGGTGTGAATGCGCCTATTGTCTTCAACAAGTTCAACTTCATATCCTCACCAGGCCAGTCCCAAAGATTACAAGAACATTTATACATTACAGTAATAAACAAAATGAAGCTGAAACAAGAAAATGTAATGCCTGTTTTATCAAATTAGTAAATTGCTTTTCTGTTAATTGAGTTATTGTGTCGACTCTGGGCACAATGAATTGAGGGAGATAAATAGTATCCTTGTAAAGAATACAATATGCTATGGGGCACAGGTGTTCTTTTCCTATTTCCACCTCTGCATTTCTCCTTATCTTTATTTCAATAATCCATTCAAACGTCGGTCATCAGTAAAGGATGAGGATGTTATCATCCCCTGGGGTCTGACCGTTGTTTTTGAAATGCGACAGTTGTTTTTTATCTGTCATCTATCTAATTTGACTAATCCTTGCGCTACATGAAACGCAAACTGTAAAGCACAAAAGGCACTTTTAGTTCCTACATTATTTGACTTCCCCTGCTTTGTTCCTGGGACTTGTTAACTATAAAAGGAATAATAAACCTTTGAGCATCCTCAAACTTTGAAAGAAATCCGTTGTCCCTCTAAAGGTGACATGCTTTGCTTAATCAACATAAGGCTAATATATGATAATTGTAATGTATGTGATGATCAAACCATCATTGGTTGTGCTGAGGTTAATAGATTTTGATGGCGTTTCATAGGTGTTTTAGGTTAAAGTGAATACAATAGTCTCATTTTTGCAGTGTGAAAGACCTGTGAACTCCTGCATCTTATATAGCAATATACTAACAGTCCATTATTTGGGGAGTCGTGACACAACATAGGAATATAAGGGTGTTAAACTGCTTAGACATTCTAGCTTACAGCCAGAGCTGGCTCAGTACTTACAGACACATACTTCCCAAGCAAAAGGGTTAACCTTGCACAGGTGGCGGGCTCGTCTCGCTATTGGTACAGTGACGATATTTCAGAACCCCCAACATACACAACATAAGTTTGTTGAAAACAAACATATCAATTAAATATGGCCTTTGCTGCAGTTATGACCAAAGTGTGAAGTGTTACTTACTACAGGGTCTTTCACAATATCGATGAGGGAGATGATGTTAGGACCTCCACGTAGGTTCTCCAAAATCTTGATCTCACGCTTGATTTTCTTTTTCTTCACAGGCTAAAAGGGAAAAGGGGAGGCAGAGTTAGGCAGATTGAATTAAAGCATGTGATCATAAATCAGAGCTTCTTTCTGTAAGGATTTACCTTGAGTATCTTCACCACAACCTTCTCATTGTTGGTGATGTTGATTGCTTCAAAGACTTCGCTGTACTTGCCACGTCCGAGCTTACGCACCAATTGAAAGTCATCCTGATTCCTGTGAAGGAAAAAAAAAAAAAAAAACATTAGCTGGATTGAAGAGTTGTCGAGCCGCATACTGCAAAAGTTGTTTAATGTCTGCAAGGTGATTACCCCCATTCCACCACATGGGACTCATAGTCCCAGTACTCCCTTGGCCGGTGAGTGTTGACCTCAGTGTACACTCGGGCCCGGCTCGGCACGGGTCCTGACATGTCCGACAGCTTGGCAGAGATGGTCAGGGACTCTCACTGCAGCGGAAGACTGTTGGAGTACAGGGAGGATGGGTGGGAGGAAGAGGAGGGAAAGTAGGGGGTGAAGGGGTTGATCCCTACAGGGCAAAGGGTTTGGGGGGGGGCTTTGCCTGAGGACGGGGGAAGGGGCCACCAGGGGCACGGTGGGATAGCTGAAAACGAGGGTGAGAGAGGAAATGATGGATTAGAACATTTGAATGTTTCTATTTTACTGATAGAGGTGTCAGCAGTTTCTCAACAGAGAATCCACAAATAATAACACCAGTGCATGACGGCCATAAACACACAAACAATAAATCATTTTACTTGTCATCTGATTTTCTCTGCCCCTTTATTGGCGAAACAATTTGGTGACAGCAAGGAAAACACTGAGCTGGCTGATGATAGACTAGCTCAAGCTGATTGGAAGAGATAAACTAAAGTGGCAAAGTGACTTAGAGACAGTCAATGATTACTTTAGATCAGGGGTCGGCAACCATAGGCACGCGTGCCACCATTGGCACGCGGTACCGTAACCAGTGGCACACTAGGAATAAGTGGAATAAGTGTGCAAAATATTTAAATTGTATTTTCGGATCCTGAACGAGACCGCCGCCAGAGCTCGTCTCCCCGTTAACTGCAGAAGGAAGCCATGCACGCAGCGCAGCGCAGCGCAGCGCAGCGCAGCGCAGCGCAGCGCAGCGCAGCGCAGCGCAGAAGGAAACAACAAATTAAAGCAATCTAGACCGCAACAGAATTAAACAAGCGACTGCCTGTTTTTCCTGGCCAAGGACAGGTTCCCTGAACACAACACGAGCATAACGTGTCATCACGTGGTGTAGTGCTGCCGGAACGCACCGGAAAAGGACTGCAAAAATTGCAGTACCCATAAGCCATACACATGCCGCAGTTTTTGCGTGGCTGTGTCTTTAGTTGAAAGCCCAGTGGCGATCTGTTCATCTGTCATACTGATCAGACAGTCAATAACGCCATCGAAAACAATATGCTACATTACAGTACAACTACTTCTGGGTCTTTGTGTGTCACTCAAGCTCGGCTGTGGCTCTGTGTGTGTATGTGTGTGTGTGTGTGTGTGTGTGTATTACAAGCGTATTTTGTGAGAGCGAGCGAGAGAGAAAGAGAGCGGTACCGGGGATTATTGCATCTGGTTAGCTAGCTATGCTAACGAATATAAGGAGCTTTTTCTACAACCAGGTGGAAGAGAGCTCTCTCCTGTCAGACTGAGAGGTTCTGTGAGGTAAAGGCACACCTTTATATGATCATTATAGATTTTGTCAATCAAAATCAAGTATTATCTGGATAGCGAAATGCAGAATGTTTCATATTTGGGATGTGGTTGATGAGTCACATGACCACAGTCAGGTCAGAGGGCATTGTTTCATCCCTCCAATTATATTAAGTTATTATTTAAATTTAAGTGATCATAGGCCTACCTCTCTTGAAATCCAAATGTAAAATAATAACTCAGAAAATGATATGTATTCGTGTTTTTACACAGGTAGGCCTACTATTTTCATCCAAAACAAAAGAGCCTACTTAGTAGGCCTGTTTATAATATTGAGTTAATCATAGGGTGTTGACGTTTTTAGTCTGGTTCTTGTTATTATGTGTGAACACTTTATTTGTTCTATAAAATGTTCTATTCAATTAAATACACATTTGAAAACCAATTTATGGTGTATTTATTGTTTTTAGTTTAAAGGTAGGGTAGGTAAGTTTGAGAAACCGGCTCGAGATACACTTTTTGTTATATTCCATGGAATGCTCTTAACATCCCGATAGCAATGAATATCTTAAGTGCTTTGACAAAAAATCCATAAAAAAAATGTAATCTGTGGAAGCCGTAATACTGTATAAAGTACGACCAATCATTTTAGCCGGCCCGTCTAAAATAACTGGATGGCCTACCTGCCTGTCAGCCTTCCATCTGTGCACAAACTTATCTCGTGCCCTCATTGGTCATGTGCGCGTTCGTGTGTGTTGGAGGAGGGGCTCTGTAAGGAAGTGGCAGATTTTCTCCGGTTCTGTATTTTCAAATTCTAGCGATCTCGAGCCGGTTTCTCAAACTTACCTACCCCACCTTTAAGCTCTGAAGTGGTTTTTAAATCTAAGAAAAGTTGGTGTGCCTTGGGGTCGAGAAATATTTTCAGGGGTGCCTTGGTAAAAAAAGAAGAAGTTGGGAACCACTGCCTTAGGGGGCTCCGTAGTATCCTGAGTTGATGTTCATGAGAAAGGTAGAAGGAGCATCAGTCCAACAGGCGGATGGTTGCAGCATACAGGCATTGTGCCAGGCGTTTGCTGTGAGGAGGAACTGGGCCTGAGGCTAGCCTTCACCTGGGTCATGCGCCTGGGTTGTGTCTTGAGCTGGACAATATACCGATATTGAATCGGTATTGTGATTAGATATCATGTCAGATTTTGGATCCAATTTGCGCAATGTGTATCGTCCTATAGGTCGATTGCGTAGTAGCTACTATAACGTTACACATTTACAGTCAACTCAAACCCTACCGTTAGCTAGTTGTGTTTAGCAGTTTTTTATATTTAATCTATTGTCTTCTAATACAGCATTGGCTCATGTAGGTATTTTGCTAATGAATACGCCGGTAAAAGACAGATTTATGGCAGAGATGTATTTTTTCCTCAAGTGACAAACGAGAAGGTTTTACCCGTGATAGGTTAAGGTAATAAAGGAGTAGAATATACTGAATCATATTAAATAACTGCTTTAAAGACAAGCTCATGTTACCTGAATGAATTCCTTTTCCGGATTCAATCCTCATTCGGCATTCATCTAATCATGCGAGCGTTAGAGAAACCATCGCTAGATTCAATTAAATCTTAGCTTTTACAAAAGCTCCCTCGGTCGTCTTGCATCGAGTGTCACGATGCTGAATGATTAATTTAGCCTTATTCAAACAGTTTGGCTAAGGTTAAATCAAACGTAATCGTTTCAGTTATTGATTCGGAATTATGCGACAGCCACAACGTTAACGTTATGTCGACATTCGAACAACAACTGTAACGGTACATTCATACCTAACGTTGGGTGTGTGCCAATGTTTGCATACAGTGGTGAAACTATATTTATTTGACAGTGAATAACGTTACAGCAGGGCTACAACCGGCTGTGTTAGCTTTGCTGTGAGCAGAAGGTGTTGGCAACTTGTCGGCTCTAGGCGGGCCCGAGCTGCTAGCCGCTAACATTAGCATGGCTAACGTGCTCCCCTGCTAGCTTCCAGAGAGAACTGGAGTCTGCATTATCTACAGTAGAGGAACATGGAGTGGATATTTACCCCCTTGATCAATTCGACGACTGAAAGGCTTCCCAGTTAGCTGATGTTGTTTAAGCCAAAGGTCCTCGCCTCCCTCCGACTCCGGTGTGTCTGCAAGTGTGAGATTTCTGCTGTATCAGAGACAATATGGCTGACTGCCGCCGCCACCTACGTCCTCGAGTAATGCAACGGAGGCCGTGGAGGGACAAGCTACAGGAGGAGTAACTGTCAAAACAGTAGCAACTGTCATGTTTATTTTCAGAAACTCCCAACACACTTTTTAGGTCAAAGGTTGGAATATTCTTTAATAACCAGGTTAATCACAAACTGTTTCACATCCAAAGATCAGCCCAAAGGCCCAAAAATAATCATTTAACAATTAGATAGATAGATAGATACTGTAGATAGATAGATACTGTATTCATCCCAAATTGGGATATTATTTTGTTACAGCAAATCAATGTCAATCAAGTCAAAGCAATGTGTTCAGGCATTCAAATATTTAAAAGGTGGAATACAGTAGAAAATACATAAATCCCATAGAACACAGAATATAAAATATTCTTGACAATTTAGAATGTTCTATAAAAGACCAATATACTACAGCAACATAAATGTAGATACACAGTATCCAATAATGTATTTATTGACTCTGTGAGATATATATAAGAGGTGTATGAGTATTCTACAAAGCCTACTCCGACGGCACATCAGCAGGGCAGACACCTCAACCAGATGTTAAATACAATAACTTTATTCAAGTGTAGTTTTTAATTCAGGTATTATAAAATGGCTATAATTCATACGTTGTAGGTTACATCCTATGTGGATGAAAATACACATCAAAACTAAATGTTAAAAGTCCCATGTCATGGCCATTTCTACTGATCATAATTCCATTGTTGAGGTATACTAGAATACATTTACATTGTGCAATTTTCCAAACTCACATTGGTTTCTCATACAGCATCTCTGTATAGTATGAGTTCTGTTCTGATGAGTCCACCACCGTTACAGCGGAACATCAGTGATTATGTGTTACAATGGCGTTAGCAACCAGAAAATGACACCAGCAATGACAAACAGCTGCTGGAGCGGACAGTGTGAGCTGGCTTACTGGTGTTGTTTCCTGGTTGCTGCGGGGGATCTGTGAGACAGCGAGACACAGCGAAACCCAGCCTGAACCCAGCCCGAGCACACACACACACACATGTGCAGCCTGGCTGTGAGTCTGCGTCTGTGCTCAGAACGAGCCCAGGCAGAGCCCCGCCGCGTCTCGCCGTCTTAGGCCTACATAACACACAAGGGGACGGTTAATAACCGGAAAAGCATGACATGGGACCTTTAACACTTTGACCTTGTGCATTCATTCGAAATCCAATGATATGGACAGAACTGTCCAAATATCTTTTGACTGCAGTGCATACGACATGGCAAGCACGATCCACCTCTGTCCTCTGCAGCCTGTGTTGGATCGGTTTGAAGGTAATTGTAGGGAACATGACACATGCAACTTATAAAGCTTTTATCAAATGATATACTTGTTACAGCCTGGCAAAAGGGATTGCTGCAACATTCATGGGTGAAAATATATTATGCATCTTCACTGATTATGTCTTTATAACTGTAAAAATAACATTGTATGCATTGTTTAAATGTGTTACTTAAAAATCTATATTTGTAAATGAAAGTAGGCTTTAAATAATTCTTACTTTGTCCAAGAGGGGGAGCCTCAACATTAAAAAGGACATGCATGTTATTTTTCACTCTGCTCATTTTCAAACCACCCTCTTTAAAGTTAAATGGAAACATGCATTCACAATACTAAAACACATAACACTTACAGTACAACACCGAACATACAGGGATAATGTTAGCACAATGTGGCTCTCTCAGGTTCTGAGAGTTCTTAAACTTGACTTAAGAGCTCAAATGTACAGTACTTGCCATTCAAATTGTTTTTTCTTAAGACTTGTTTGTAGACATTGAAATAATGTTTTTTATTATCTTTTACTTCCCCTGTACACTTTGACTCAGCTTCTTTGTCTTACTTCCCCTTATTAAGGTATTTTGCACATGTCATTGGGTATGTTTGGGTTCAGATTACATTTGATAAGTTTTAAATATCTTTAGTAATTAATTCATAATGCTGGGGCCCTGTTTATAAATGTATTCTTACATTTGGAATTATTTTACTTACTTATTATCACACTATAATATTATCCCAGGGTGCATATTCCTAAATAAAGAAATAAATCATATTAATTGAAACAACGAAAATCTGGCGGCAGATACCAGCCATGCTTTTCAGTTAGTTTTTGGGATGTCTGAGCAAAAAGCTGGTCTGTGTAGTCTGCAGTGTGCACTGTACTGAATGACCATGGGTTTATGGTTTATACACAAAAAGAATGGTGTCTTGGGGGTATATGGTCTGGGTATATGAATACAGAAATGGCAAAAATTGAGTAAAGCCCAAACCAAGTTTTATTGTCAGCACTCCCTAAGACACCATCAGAAGAAGAGTGACTAGTTTAAATTGGCAGAAGACTCCCATTGGCGAAATTCAATGAGAAACAAAGTTCACGTCACTGTGTTGTTGGAGCAGGCACTCATTCTTCTCCAGAGCACAGCCGGCAGGTGAAGGAGGTTGTTGGGGGCAGCAGGTTTCTGTCAGCCAGACTATTCATTGTGCTCTTTGGGGCCTTGATTGGGGATATCCTCTCTAAACAATTGCTGTGAGTGTTGAAACTGGTTAAAAGTTTTCAAACGTATATTCTTCCTCCAATCCATGTCCTAGTTACAAGCTGTAAACACTTGCATTTATTGGCCCCAAGATGATTTTTTATGTCTTGTTAAAATGCAGATCCACAGGCGAATTTATACCATGTGAGTTTACCCATGCATGTGTGTATTTCTGGATTGAGGGGACAGTTCTTTACTGTGAATCTCTGCCAACCAAAGGCAGAGCTGTGACTTTTCAACAGCAAACCCTGAGGGTTGAACGGAAGTGCGCAGTTCGGTTTAATTATAGGAAAAACCAGGATGTGAATGTATTCGCCCTCTCGAAAAAGGAGATTTATTCTTGGTAAAAATGTCAAGTTGGTAAGATTGATCTCACATGAAAGAGAGATAAAGAACCTGTATTCTTCAGAAGTAGGCCTTAAGTATTTAATATGGCTAAGATGCGATGCAGGCTAAGATGTTACGGACGTCAAGCTGCTGCGGAAGTCTGCCTCTTTCCTCCTTTAAAGAACTCTGGCAAACATATTGTAGTATTATTATGACAGGAGGAGATATCAGGCATTAGATTTGTCCCCTTTCACCTCTGCATAAAGGACCGCCGCCCTAGGTCTGAGGTAGCAGGAGAGCAATCAGAGCCCTGACCCGGTGATCTGATATTGTCTGTACTAATGTTTCAGGTCATTACACAACTTCCTCCCAACAGGCAAAAAATAGTCCAGAGATTGTTTTTTTGCTGAGAGGAGAGTGTGTCAACCCATACAGAGAACAATCCCACACACTCATCTGCTCTGCTGGACACATTTCACGATATTGGCCTTGCTTGAAATCAGCAAACAGGGTCGCCAATCTCTACAGATATAGACCACAATAGAAGTATGAAATACTTTCTTTGGCCAAATGGGAACTGAGCCATGTGTTCACACTTTCCCATGATCCTCTCTGGTGGTGAATGATGTGAAAACCCATAACCACCAACTGTGTCTGCAATTTGAAGTGCCCTGACCTCTGCCTGAGGTCATTAATGTACAGTCGCAACTGACCGCTGCAATTAGCCTGCTGGGAGCACGTCCCTCCAGCCCGACAAATCGAACTCTGTGTTCTTTTACCGGTACAAACTTAAGCATTTGCCTGAAAGAGCTCCAGTCAGCAACAGATGGCTAAACTTTACAATAGGAGCAACAAGCAGTTAGCAAGGAGCAAACTGAAGTCTGTAAGATAAAAAACAGAGCGACCCTTCTCTTTCGGATTTGAACAGCTAACCGACCTGTTACTGCACAACAACACAAACACGAAAATTCACCATCTAAGCTTAAAGTTAATTTAGCTAAGAAGTAGGCTATTTGCCAACCTGGTCTCACCTATTTGCTCATTGTTTGGTTTTATTCACTGAGCTTCATTGTGGGATCTGTTGTATTGAGCTAATAGGTAACATGAAATTGAGTTTAACTAACCAGATTCTAACTTGATGCCTTTATCATACACGTTATGATCGCACATTCATCTGGCCTTTTAAACACAACAACACACACATAGGAAAGGAATTAAAGCTCTTCTAAAAATGTGTAGACAGTCAAAAATGTAAGTTGAATTTACAAACTACTTTTCATATGTTAACTTCACTGCTCACCCACATTGTGGGTCTTTGTGAGACTCCCCTAACTTTCCTTGATTCACAAATGGATGTTGTCTTAACAGGAACTTATCTCTCCCTCCTGTCCAGCTGATCCTATGAATTCCCCACCACAAATGGCATGATTTCCAGCATGCCCAGGCTGAAAACCTGAGGACGAGTTGAAATCTTCCGGAAACTGTTCAGACAGCTAGCTTTGCCGTCAAACATTTGAGTTATGCACCCCAGCTTGAACTAATCAAACGTGGGCATAAGTCTGTAAAGATCCCTCAAAGAATCCAAACAAAGAGATACAGCTACTGGATTGAAGGTTACATCAACAATGCCTAAAGCAAGGCCATTGGCACCTCGCATATTATTTTTAACTTTAGCTAAGTTGGCAAGAAGCTATTTTACTAGCTTAAAGTTGTCAGTTGGCTTACCATGTTGATTTTACTATGTATACATGACACTGGCATCATTTGTATGACATGAGTAAATGTGCTATCAATTTGTGTAATATTGATGGACATTTCTGACAGCCACTACGATGTAAGGTCATATGCATACATTAATAAAGCCAGGCCCCGATGCTGGAGTTCCAGTTGAGCAAAGTACAGATGTCCCACGTGTAATTATTCCTCCGTTATCCATAATGGTTTAACCCTGGGTGCGCACAGCAAAGAGCTGAGCTTGACTCTGCTAACAGTTAGGTTACAAAATTGTTTGCAGATTTTAACAATCTTCAAAATACACCTGCCCTTTAATTTGGATCCTGTTAGCAACACACACACACAAACTAGGTTTGACCCTGTAAGTGCCTGTTATGATGCATTTCCACTACAGCGCGGTTTAAGCGCGGCCCGTTTTTGGTTGCGTTTCCACTAGGCGTAGTACCGGCTAGCGGGTAGCCTACTATTTCACAGTTTTTATGGCCCCATAAAATCGAGGTTCTTAGCGGGCCAACAACCAGGCTGAGTCGGGCTGAGTATGCTAAACTAGAGAGAGAATCGCTGGCAAGGGGGCTACAACTACAACTAAATGAACATATTTGACCGTGATTTAATTGTAATACACGTTTCAAAATGATGCCGAAGTAACAACATACTGATACCGGTTAGTAAAAACCATGAATTAATGCTTTGACAAGTCTGCAGACAGACGGCAGGCGAAAAACCTTTTAAAATGCGTGTTTTCTAAATGGAGATCGGCTAAGCTAACGCAGTATATGCTCCGACCATCCACACTCACAACAACGGCCTACAGACATAAATAAAGCAGCGACTGTATTCGCCATGACACAGGCAGTCTGTGGTGTGTACTTGTTTAACTTTTGTCTAGTTTCTGAACAGATATGAGGAGCTGTGAGCTCTGAGGGCTAACAGCTAACGGCTGATGTTGTTTTCCTGTGGTTCGCATTGAAGATGACGTCACGGCTCCGCCTACACTGCGTTACTATAGTTACTGCCCCAGCTACTAAACTGTAATGGAAATGCAGCATAAAGTGAGCCTGGCCTAACAAGGCCTAACTATACCGTACTAAGCCGAGCGAGGCCCTGCAATGGAAATGCGCCATTAGGCTGCTGCAGAGGACTGGGCTGTTATTTGCTGTTTACTACCCCAATCAAGGAAAACAACAAGGAAAACAATCAGGAAGATTGGAAGCGTCCTTCCCAAAGCCTCAGTCCCATGTTAGGACCGCAGTGCGTGTCAGAAGGCGAAGACTGACAGGCCAGCGGCCGGCTTGAGAACTATAGGGTTGAACAAGAGGCAGTGGGGGGGGGGGGTCTTCCCTGTCAAACAGTTGAGCTATAGCACCATAAGGGTCTGTTTAGGGTGAAGTGTGGTGGAGGGGAACTATATCGCAATCTTAGTCCTTCCTATTTGCCCCATGGTATCCTTCACTAATGCTTACCAGATGAGGCTGAAGATTGGGAAAGCGTCGCTGAAGTCTTTGACATATTAATTTATGGTGAGGTTGAGCTTTATACTGTCCTGTTCACGGATATCACTAACGTAAATGAGAAACCACTCCAGTCAGAGGTGGCCACGCTGTCCTTCTTATCTCTTATCATAAAGATTTCTGTAATCCAGAAGATAGGAAATGTTTCCTCTGTAGGATCTCTGCCTCTGCCACCATAGTTAGCTTTTTGCACAACATCACTACTTTTGACCATATTTCTGAAGACAATCTGCACCTACTGATCTCAATTCACACGGTACTGGTGCCTATGCCGTGATTCAGCCTTTCCAATTCCTGTAAACATGTTTCTGTTGAACTTTACAGTGCAATACAATCTGCATGTATATTTCAAAAAATAAGTCTCACAACTACAGAATGATATGAACTCACATGTAGCTATACTACAAGTACTTACCATTACTTTATTATATTTTGTATTGTTTCAGTCTTCGGCCATGCTTTCCCACCCTGGAATTAAAACCAGCATCAGCTGAGCACAAGGGTCATCTGGGCCCTGACTGATGTCAAAGCTGGCACTGACCCAGGGCCCCGGGCCCCACAGGGAGAACCTCGGCAGGGTCGAGCGATCAGGCCTTTTCCTTCCTGTTCGTCTATGACATCTTCCTGCATGGGGGGGCCCTTGGGAGCCATTGAGCGGGGCTCCGCCGGGCCCTCTGAGCTACAGGATAAGCTCACACAGCAGCTTCTAATTAGGCTTTAGCACTGACAGGTGGAAAGAAAGTGGAGCGTTGGGACGCTTTATGCAAGTGTGCAGTTATTTGTGTTGCCCCAGAGGACCCGGAGTGCAATAACTTTTTTCCAGAGGGGTGTACCCCCAAACATCACTTCAGGGGTCATTGAAATGATTCAGTTTAGTCATAACTCTGTTGTCAAATGTTTAAATTCAGCGATAAATCTCAGGGCTGGCTCTGACTCGACTGTTGCATCGCACACTGTGATATGGGGTCACTTTTCAGAGCTTTTTTAAGGAATGCTTATGGCAGAAATACAGAGGTATCATAAGGTATTGTAGTGTACATGGTCATGCTATTCTCAACATGAACACACAAAGATGTGCCAGATGCACACATTTTTCTGTGAAAGATTGTAAAAAATATATGGATACATCAACAGCAGTGGTAACTATGATACAGGAATCCAAAATGCTTAAATAACTTTCTAACTAACACCTGAGAAGAAACCTGGCCACACAGCTAAACTAGCAGTTTCCCCTCGTTTACAGCCTTTATGCTAAGCTAAACTAAACAAATCCTGGCTGAAGCTACATATTTCAGTGGTAGTAATCGTCTCTCTCTGAAAGAAAGTGAACACGTTTATGTCAACAATTATTTTTAAATTTTTTATTTCTAAGAAATAATGCATCTGGTAGAGACTTTCTTGAAGGAGGTCATCCATCAAAGTGGACACCTTTTCTACTTTTACTTTTGCCACATTATGTGATTGTTGCAAAGTAAAGCTGTGCAGATTTTTCAAATCAAACTTTAGACCTTCTTTTTTCTGAAGTACTTTTTGGAAGTTTTGCCACATCCAATTCAAAACAGTATTTCTCTCTGTCTCTGCGTGTTCACTTTCTGAACTTTAATTCTGTAGCAGCTGTGTTTGTCTGGACACAGGGTGCTAGGTGATATTAGCTGTGACTGATCAACACCACATGTGGATTCCAACCCGGGAGATTTACTACCAGAGCAGAGTCATGCAAAGATCAGCCCTCAGATTTCAGTTTTTTCCTGAATATTGCTTCTAAATATTCAAAACGTTGCACTGTGGTATATATCAAAACTGACAGTGTGTTTTTACTGGCATTCAAAAAAAGAGATCTGTTTTTGTCAAACGCAAAAAGGCTGAAATGTTTGAACCTCCACATGGATTTTTCTTTTCTGAGCTTTAACACCAAAGTTTGAACTCTGCTTCTTCCTCTCTGTGGTTGATCTCGTTGGCATGGCTCCAGGAATGTGCTACACCCCCCGATGGTTCCCATAAGTAATCATCAGTCCCTACAATAGATCCAACAACGCTAATTTGTGTCTTTCCTGTTTTGCCTTTACCTTAGAGTTGACTCTGATTCATGCCTTCCTAACTGGCACTGCCTACTGACAGGCTGTCTGCGGGCTCCCACTGCTGGGATACGTTTCAGAGAGCCCACTGAGGAAAAGATTGATTACTTCCTCCATGAGATTCCTTGGCATTACTCAGACGGAGAGGGTAAACCTTCACTGGAATTCCCCGTATATGTTTCCTCCTCTGAGCCGTTACAGGCAGAAGATGCCAGTAATGGTTAAGTGGTTTGTTCTTTGGATCCAGCTGTCCTGAAGTAACATGAACTCTACATGTGGTGTAAAGCATTGAATATATCAGGAACATAGATATCTGTAAGAGTTATTTGCAGAGCCTACTTTTTGCAGCTTTTGCATCACTGATCTACAAACTAAGGTGTAGTCGCAATGCAGATAGTTCTGGTTTTATTTGTCCAGGTTTACAAAATCTGGCTCTGTTCCTATTTTTGCAAATGAAGTTTATCAAACCTTACAAACAAATGTAATCAGTTAACATTTGATATTTGGAACAGCTTTGTTAGAGGACGACAGTTGAAAATATGTCATAATATGCCAACAACAACAACAACAACTCAACAACAATATTATTGTGTGTGCATTATCAATTCAAATAGTTAAATCCATTGTTAAGGCAAACACAAGAGCCACTTTTATGTAAAAATAAATTTAATTTCAAAGTAGATTACAACATGTAATGAAAAATAAAACAACGTAGTGTCCCACAAAAATGTCCTGTCGCACACATCTTCCCAACAGCTGTGTGTGGTCCGGCCTGACGTATCCCTCCTCTTCATCGTAAAGAATAATGCAGACTTGTATGCCCGTTTGCCTCAGTGCCTTACCCAGTACAGTTTATCAGTTCGGGGATAAACATCAACAGCATCTCTGTGTCTCAGCAGCCATGCTAATGTTTGGGTCATTTCACAAATATGACTCAATACATTTGATCCATGGATAAGAGACAAAACTATTTATGTAAATAAACCTTAAGCATTATGCAACTTTCACAAGTAAATGTGTGGACATATATTGAATGTGGATATATGAAACAAGGATATTTAAAAGTGATAGCAGGTTCAAACCAGGTTCAGGTATTTTGAATTTGAACGGGGAATGTTTCCTTTTATTAAGATTAAGATTATGGATTGTGCCTTTAAGTAATAGTGGATAATTACCCATAATCCATGCTGCAAAGCTTCTGTCAAAAACCAAAACTTTGCATACATTCTGCTTTGAGACTCAGGCCAATAGATACTCCGCCTCGTTGTTTAGTATCCTACCGATGCCCTGAACATGTTTGTCTTTAAAAATGAAAAGAACGTCCATGGCCCTATAGCAGCTTTACGCTCTCACTTTTATTCCCCAATGACATTGGTGTGTTTGCATTGAGTCTGTGCTGGAGACACTGATGGTTTTGGTGCCAGTCCTGAGTCCTCTCATCTCACACAGGGTAAAGTGACCGTTGAGCCAAAGCAAAAAGTCAAAGTGGTCCTCAGAGTCTGAGATGCTTCCAGACTTGTGGAACAGTTTGTGGAGGTTCCCTGAAGTCTGATCTGAAGAGTGGATCCAGTCCTGCTCAGACCCTCTCATCGCCGACTTATTTGTCTCCCACTGCCTCCATGCATTTTCACAAAGTCCCGTCTGTCTTTCACCTGTGACCAAAGAGAGAAATTATTGTCACTGTATATCTGCAAGAAATATTTTTGACAATCATTTCTAAGTTTAGATGTTTTCATGTAATTTCCTACAAGCAAATGGATTCAGCCACATAGCTGTCAAATAGGGATACAACCACCACTTTCCTTAAAGAACACCTCCATGCACTGAATAATTATGAACCTATAAAGTTACCAATCAGCAATAATATAAATCCAAGATGGACCACATTCAATTGGACTGAGAAGCATGCAGCCAATTATAATCCAGCACTGTCACATGACCTCCCTCTAAAGCTCCATTCAAACTATTTTTTACTGATGAACTTTAGAAAACTAAAACTCCAGGCAAATGGGGATGTGAAATGTGGAACTTGTTACGTCTATAACTAAGTACAATCGTTTTTTAATAATGCTGAAAATAAAAAGTGTACAATGCCTTCAGTTCACACCAAAATAAATGTCAATATATATACTCACTCTCTACTGCAAAGAAAACCTCAAGCCTTCATTAACAATGAGACATTATATTTAACCAGCATCTTTATCACTTTATATAAATGTGCAACTGTTGTGGCCCTTTGTCTATCCGCAAAGATACACGCTGTAACCCATCAATGACTATTTGAAATGCTGTGATTTTATTAGTCATTCGGCACACAAATTATTTAATTATTAAACACGTTTTATAATCCCGCTCAAATGTTCCATTTGGCACCGCGCGCTGCATTCTGCATGATCGATGGTGCAGGGATTACATGCGGGGGCGTTAAAACTAGAAACTGCACAGTAAACATGATTGCATTATAGCGTACTCAATTCTATATAAGTCGTATTCAGGAGTAGAAGATTTTACATGTATAGTTGACTTATTTGTAGTAGCCTATGTATTCACAATACATACATTGGTCACTTGCAACATTCTCTTGCACTATTTTATTTGATGTCTGTCCTGTTATTGCATTCTTTTGTATTGTTTATATTATATCATATATTTCTGTTGCATTGTTGGAGCCTGGGATTTAAGATGTTCATTACCATACATACACTGTAGCTGTGCATATGAAAATAAAACCTTTGAATCTTTGATCTTAAGTATATTTGCTGTGTGCATTACGCTTCCCACTGAGAAAATCATTTAAGTATGAAATGGAGCTTTGGCACCTGCCAGTGTTTTTCTGCCAGCGACTAAGGATAGGTTATTCATATTTTACCCCTCTCCGTTGGTTGCTGAGGCAGAACGTGCAGATATTCCGGGGCTTTTTGCCTTTTCCTCCTCCCTTCCCCTCCTTGTAGACAGCGCTGAGGCACGGCTCTCCGTCCTCCCTCCCGTCCCCCACCACCAGCACGTTGGCCAGGTGTGAGATGTAGCTGGACGCCAGGCGCAGCGTCTCGATCTTGGAGAGTTTTCTGTCCACCGGTTCCGTGGGGATGAGCGTCCGCAGCGCCGTGAAGGCCGTGTTCACGTTCTGGGTCCGGTGTCTCTCCCTGGCGTTAGCGGCGTTCCGATGCGGCACCACGACGCCGGACTCCAGCCTGTAGCTCTGCCCCGGGATCCCGCAGCAGCCGTAGCCCTGGTCCGTGCTGCCGTCGCTCTCGCTGCGGTTCTCCTCCTCGTCGTCCGAAATCAAGGTCAGGTCAGCCGGGTAAGAGAAGGGATGGGTCGATACCGGCCTCAGCATAGTGAAAGCCATCATTTGTAGCCAAGAGTGTTCCAGGGGAAAGACAATCCCTTATTTTGACGTAGAAAACAGCTGCATGCAGACTAGAGCCGTGCGTAAAAGTGTTGTAACTCCAAGGTTTACACACGAGTCCCCAGTTTGTTTTGACACTTCCCCATAGGATGTTCCAGTGTGATGGTGATCGTGTCAGGGAGGGCTCTTATAGCAGCTACAGCAGCCCCTAAGCAGCTGCAGGGGGAGGGGTGGGGCACATGCAGCCTGGCTCCCATCTTCCCAAATGTTTTGGTCCTAAAAGTCCACATGCTTTGAGTATGGCAAGATGTGGACACCTTCCTCAACACGAGCCATTAGTTTTTATGGGTGGAATTTGGAGCAAAAGTTTGGTGGCCTTCAGACGCAGATTGATGACTTAACAAACGCTGCAGAAAGTTGTGCAACAAAACTGAGAAGATTTACTCAAGTTGGCAGAGGTGGGAGAAGTACTCAGATCTCGTAACTTAAGTAAAAGTAGGAATACTCTGTTACAGTAAAAGTCCTGCAATCAAAATGTTACTCAAGTAACAGTGCAAAAGTATTATCATCAAAATGTACTTAAAGTACCAAAAGTAGTGATTGTGCAGATTGGTCCATTTCAGAATAATATATATGATATGTTTTATAATGATTGATCATGAAAGTGTTCTCAAAGCTGGTAAAGGTGCAGCTAGTTTGAATGACTTTGTATACTGCAGGGTAGCTTGTGAATTTACTCCAGGTGGAACTAAAGTCTGATTTAACACTTGATTATATTTCACATCATTAATCAAAATCTGTAAACTAAAGGTATTAAATAAATGTAGTGGAGTAAAAGTACACCATTTACCTCTGAATTGTAGAGTAGAAGTACAAAGTAGCATAACACTGAAAAACTCAGGTAAAGTACATGTCTCTCAAAATGGTAGTCCTAGAGTAAATGTACTTAGTTACTTTACACCACTGCAAGTAGGCCGACTGTACTTAAGACACTGACACTTGTTGTATACTTGGAGATGACGATTTGACCAGTGGTGGAAGAAGAACTTAGACCTTATAATAATACTGCAGTGTAGAAATACTCTTTTACAAGTAAAAGTCATGCATTAAAACGTTACTTAAGTAAAAGTACAAAAGTAACAGCATCACAAAATCCTTAAGTACCAAGGATTAGTAGTAGTATTACTATACCAAGTGTGGTGAGTAAATAATGCAATATATGCTTCTAAATTGTGGTGGAGTAAAAGTACCAAAAAAGTGAAATACTCAAGTACTCGAGTACATCTCAAAAATGTACTTAAGTACAATACTTGAGTAAATGTACTTAGTTACTTTCTACCACTGGATTTGACAAATCAAAAACACTTACCAGTTTGTTAGGCAGTCAGAATCTGAAATCCTGAATTTGAAAACCCAAGAGAATGTATACTGTGTACTGTGAGCAGCAAGGTGTGTAGCAGCAGCTCTGCTACTGAGTGCAGCTCATTTGATTCAATACAAAATGAATTAACACACTATAGCCAATTCAATTCATTAGTAGAACAAGCTGTCAATGTATGAACTGAATGATAGTGATACTGTCCAGATTGTTTGATTTCTACATATTGGCCTTCTTAATTACTAGTAGATACTGTTGAGGAAAATAGAGCACTGTTCAGCCCTAAAAACATCAATGTGGTCCCCTAGCAACAAATGTAGCCTTGTGGCTCAGTCTAAAGCCAACTTATTGTAACAAGACAATGAATAATTGTCCTGCCTGCTCTCACTAAATACTCAGACTACTCTTCCATCAGCAAATACTGTAGAAAAATACATACCACTCTCTATTCAGTACACTGTCTTAGATTTAGCTTAGTCAGAGTTGACTCTTTAAACATTCATATACACTGTAAATCCTGCACATCCCTTTGGACATGTTGCACATTTCTGCCCCACACTACCTCTTTTTAAACGTGCACAGCTCTCCACTTTGAAAATAGTATTTGTCATATTTTATTTTATTTAACTGTACTCAGTGTCTTAGATATTCATGTTTTATTTGTATCTTTTAAGAATCGTCTTAAAAGAGTTTTTTAAATAGTTTTTGTAATAGGAAAATGTTTTGCTTCTTTTTTTGTTCAAAAAAATATAAAGGTATTATTTGTTATGTGTCTTTGTTATGAGAGGTAATCAAAAACGATTCAGATTCTGATTCCTGACTTGATGTTATAATGCCGTGGCCCCGCTGGCTCCTGTCCTCAGGGGCCACAGTGAGCGGCGGCCATGCAGTCGCCCTTGTTCAGTTTGTGTAATGGGTTAATTGCTGCGGGTAGATAAACACTCAGCAGATGCTGGGGGTGATCAGCCTGCACTCTCTCTGTGTGGAGCAGCAAATGGCTTCCAGATTGACTGGTGCTGTCAGGGGGGGGGGGGGGCTGGGGGGGTGAGCACTGGAAAAGGGAGAGTGTCATCAAAGGGTCTGTTTTTACAAACACAACCCCTTGACACATCAAACCGGGGCTCCGGCGGCCCCTGGCCCCTGCTCAGCTGCACCAACATCAGCGACCTGTGTGCAACCTGGCTCCGCTCATAAAGCGGGACACCATGCAGTTTTACCATGCAAGCAGCCAGCAACACGACCCCCCCCCAACAACACCATGCTTCTCAGTTTGTAACCGTAAATACTTTAACCCCCCCCAACCCCCTGCATCAACTGAAAGGAATGCCATTAAAGTTCTAATGAAGTGTGTGTCCAGCGGAATGTGTGTCCGGGAAGATGTGAGAATGGTTCTGAATGAGAAATTCTTACTAAAGTATGAAGTTCACTGAATGCTTTGTAAAGCTGATACCAATATTACGGGAGGAAGCTGCTAACAAGATAAAGTGCGCTGTAAGCTGGACTTGGCATTAAGATTATTAGGAGATGCTCAGCATGTCCAAAAAAAAGTATCAAATATGTAATTTCTTCCGATAGGTTAGTTAGCAGGTTCTCTGTCTAAGGAATTAACCTTTTTCTTACCATGTCACCAACTTCTTCAGACAGGTTGGATGACTTGGTTTAAAACTGTAGTAATTAATGTTTTTATATTAAGGTTTGTAGGAGCCAATTAGAGCTCAGAAGTTAAAAGTAGGAACCAATGTCTGTTACTCAGGTTCTGCCGGAAGGGCAAACTGTTTATGACCACGGACACACACCCGGGCACACACCCGGACACACACCCGGGCACACACCCCCACACGCTGAGGTACAGATTGGCTACTGGAGTTGTTGTGTTTGAAGTGTCATATTGTACAGTGATGGAATCTGATTCAAGCTGAATGGAGAACAGCAATGAAAAAAAAACGGACTAAGTGTTCAGTTGGAAACAATTTGTATCGACTTTAATTCACCTGACAAGTGTGCGTCAATTACATCAACACAGACATCCTCAGTGGCTTAAAGCTTAGCCTCTACAATGTTGATATACATTATAATGTATAATGTGAAAGGTGACCAAGCTCTATAATAACAAAGTCAATTCAAGCTATTGGTTTGCTAACACTTGAAAACACAATAGTATTTCAGTGGTTGTAGATTTTCTCAACCAAGACACTAAAAACAGTCACTCGAGATGAGATGCTTCGCAGTGACGAGTAGAGTTTTTCCTCATCAGATATTTCCCAGCAGGCAAAGCAAAGGTGGATATTGAGCATTAACAATAGCTGCATGCCCCCCCCCCCCCCCCCCCCCCCCCCATGGCTTACTGTAAATGGACATGAGACATTATTTATGATCTACGTTACAACTGCGCCTTTATGCTTGGAAAAACTATAATGTCTGCTTTGCAAGAGATCTTTTAGTGCAGTTTTATAGCTGCACTCAGTGGCAGACAGGAAGCACATATCAGTGACGTTTATTTCTTCTGATTTCTGGCAAATGTCTAAATATTGCCGTAATTATCCTGTGCAGTAAAAAAGCGTGTACATTTAGAAATTGGGTTAAGTCTCCTTCATGGGACAGGTGGGACCTTTTGCACTGGTGACGACGAGCAATGTTTTCAGGTTTCCATGTGTTGTAAATGTGTCTGGTCTGATGCAGATAAGTCAATGGTGAGACTAAAGGAGGACTGGTAGTGTAGTGCAGTGTACAGACAGTGTTTATGACCCACCATACTTTTTTGTGCACCTTTTGTGCAATATTTTTGCCATGGTTGAATGTATTTATTTGCAGGTTTTATGACTTGCACATTAGCAGTATTGACAACTAAAAGCAACATGTTTTTTTGATTATACTACATCTCTTAATGATGACACACAAAATAAAGACAGTGCATGTTTTCCAGCACCATGCAGTCACTCCCCTCCACACAGTGTGGAGTGACGGACAGCTCTCTGCTGGGAAACACCGCGTCAGATAACCTGACTCATCGGAAACAGCTGCAGCCTCCTCCTCACAGCCAGCTGCACAGCGCCTTGTGATTTATCTGTGTGTGTGAGTGTGAGTGTGTGTGAGTGTGAGTGTGAGTGTGAGTGTGAGTGTGAGTGTGAGTGTGAGTGTGAGTGTGAGTGTGAGCGTGAGTGTGAGTGTGTGTGTGTGTGAGTGTGAGTGTGAGTGTGAGTGTGAGTGTGAGTGTGTGTGTGTGTGTGTGTGTGTGTGTGTGTGTGTGTGTGTGTGTGTGTGTGTGTGTGTGTGTATGTGTGTGTGTGTGTGTGTGTGTGTGTGTGTGTGTGTGTGTGTGTGTGTGTGTGTGTGGAGAGAAAGTGGGAGAGAAACAGTAGTGGCATACTTTGAATAGTTTAGACTAGAGTTTCATGTAAACAGCTTCCAGAGTATCTTTACTTATAGCTTTCAATTTGAAAATAAATCCAAGAAGAAGCGTTTGTTGTCCCTCATTGTTGTAATGTTGCACAGGACTGTGATCTCCTAATCTTTGTTGGATATCTTTGCTCATCACAGCTGCCCAGATTGTGTGTTTGATTCTCAGATATCTGATTCTACCGTTTCTACACAGGCAGCAAGTGGAAACGCTCTTATTTCAGTCAATATTGCCCGAGAGTGGCAATACTAAAATGATTTATAAAATACTAAAATGATTAAAATGATTTATAAAATACT